ATCCTCTTTTTCTTAAAATATGTATTCCCTATAACTAAACCCTTTCTATACAAAGTTCAATCAAAGGGCTCCCATTATTATTTACCCCTGGCACCCCAAACCTACCTACCACACCCTCTCTAAAAAGTTTCTCCTACTTTAGCATTCAGGTCCCCTACCACAATTACTCTCTCACTTGGTTCAAAGGCTCGTATACATTCACTTAACATCCCCAAAATCTCTCTCTCTCCTCACCATTCCTCTCTTCTCCAGGTGCATACACGCTTATTATGACCCACTTTTCGCATCCAACCTTACTTTAATCTACATAATTCTGAATTTACACATTCATATTCTTTTTTCTCCCTTCCATAACTGATCCTTCAACATTACTGCTACCCCTTCCTTTGCTCTAACTCTCTCAGATACTCCAGATTTAATCCCATTTATTTTCCCCCCACCGAAACTCCCTACCCCCTTCAGCTTTGTTTTGCTTAGGGCCAGGACATCAACTTCTTTTCATTCATAACATCAGCAATCATCTGTTTCTTGTCATCCGCATACATCCACGCACATTCCAGATCCCAGTTTAAAAAGTTTTCTTCTTCTCTTTTTTAGTAAATGTCTACAGGAGAAGGGGTTACTAGCCATTGCTCCCCGGCATTTTAGGTCGCCTCATACGATACGCATGGCTTACGGAGGAAAGATTCTTTTCCACTTCCCCCTGGACAATGGAAGAAATAAAAAAGAAAAAAGAGTATTAGAAAAAGGAGAAAAAACTAGATGTATGTATATATATATGCATGTGCGTGTCTGTGAAAGGGGTTGACCCAAAGTGGGAAGTAGGAGTAGCAAGATTATCCCGGTTATTAGCGTGTTTATGAGACAGAAAAAGAAACCAGCAATCCTACCATCATGCAAAACAGTTACAGGTTTCTGTTTCACAGTCATCTGGCAGGATGGTAGTACTTCCCTGGGTGGTTGCTGTCTACCAACCTACTACTACTTTGTTATATTTGAAAATGTGTAAAAAAAACGTAGATCTACTTTTGTAGCACTACACATGTGAACGTAGATCTGCTTGGACCGTTTACTGGTTAAATCCTGACACTGTCAGCACTCTAAATTGCAAAAGGTCCCAAAAGTGAAAAGGTTAACCTAGGATAATCCAACATAGTCAAAATGAGACTAATTCCTATGTTTTGGTGAGTATTACACCTATAAATAATTGTAGTGTCATTAGTATTCCTGGTACATAGTGCTAGAAGACCAAAGCAGTTAAAAAGTAAAATAAAACAAAAATTATTTGCACCAAGTTATACTGAATATTCCAAGTGGAGCAATGTCCTTTGACCTGACATCCCCACACGATCATTAAAAAAAGACACAGCAGCAACATGTTTTTATTGATAACCATAGGTAGTAGGTTGGTAGACAGCAACCACCCAGGGAAGTACTACCGTCCTGCCAGATGACTGTGAAACAAAAACCTGTAACTGTTTTGCATGATGGTAGGATTGCTGGTTTCTTTTTCTGTCTCATAAACACGCTAAGATAACAGGGATATCTTGCTACTCCTACTTACACTTTGGTCACACTTCACAGACACGCACATGCATATATATATATACATACATCTAGGTTTTTCTCCTTTTTCTAAATAGCTCTTGTTCTTTTTTATTTCTTCTATTGTCCATGGGGAAGTGGAAAAGAATCTTTCCTCCGTAAGCCATGCGTGTCGTATGAGGCGACTAAAATGCCGGGAGCAATGGGTAGAAACCCCCTTCTCCTGTATACAATTACTAAAAAAGAAAAGAAGAAAAACTTTTTTAAAAACTGGGTTGCTTAAATGTGCGTGGATTTTAGTGCGGATGACAAAAAACAGATGTTTTGCTGATGTTATGAATGAAAAGAAGTTGGTTTGTCCTGGCCCTAAGCGAAAACAAAGCTAAAGGGGGGTAGGAGAGTTTCAGTGGGGGGAAATAAATGGGATTAAATCTGGAGTATCTGAGAGAGTTAGAGCAAAGGAAGGGGTAGCAGTAATGTTAAATGTTTCAGTTATGGAAGGAGAAAAGAGAATATGAATGTGTAAATTCAAGAATTATGTGGATTAAAGTAAAGGTTGGATGCGAGAAGTGGGTCATAATAAGCGTGTATGCACCCGGAGAAGAGAGAATGCAGAGGAGAGAGAGAGATTTGGGAGATGTTAAGTGAATGTATAGGAGCCTTTGAACCAAGTGAGAGAGTAATTGTGGTAGGGGACTTGAATGCTAAAGTAGGAGAAACTTTTAGAGAGGGTGTGGTAGGTAAGTTTGGGGTGCCAGGTGTAAATGATAATGGGAGCCCTTTGATTGAACTTTGTATAGAAGGGGTTTTAGTTATAGGTAATACATATTTAAGAAAAAGAGGATAAATAAGTATACACGATATGATGTAGGGCGAAATGACAGTAGTTTGTTGGATTATGTATTGGTAGATAAAAGACTGTTGAGTAGACTTCAGGATGTACATGTTTATAGAGGGGCCACAGATATATGAGATCACTTTCTAGTTGTAGCTACACTGAGAGTAAAGGTAGATGGGATACAAGGAAATAGAAGCATCAGGGAAGAGAGAGGTGAAGATTATAAACTAAAAGAGGAGGCAGTTAGGGTAAGATATAAACAGCTATTGGAGGATAGATGGGCTAATGAGAGCATAGGCAATGGGGTCGAAGAGGTATGGGGTAGGTTTAAAAATGTAGTGTTAGAGTGTTCAGCAGAAGTTTGTGGTTACAGGAAAGTGGGTGCAGGAGGGAGAGGAGCGATTGGTGGAATGATGATGTAAAGAGAGTAGTAAGGGAGAAAAAGTTAGCATATGAGAAGTTTTTACAAAGTAGAAGTGATGCAAGGAGGGAAGAGTATATGGAGAAAAAGAGAGAAAGTTAAGAGAGTGTGTGAAGCAATGTAAAAAGAGAGCAAATGAGAGAGTGGGTGAGATGTTATCAACAAATTTTGTTGAAAATAAGAAAAAGTTTTGGAGTGAGATTAACAAGTTAAGAAAGCCTAGAGAACAAATGGATTTGTCAGTTAAAAAATAGGAGAGGAGAGTTATTAAATGGAGAGTTAGAGGTATTGGGAAGATGGAAGGAATATTTTGAGGAATTGTTAAATGTTGATGAAGATAGGGAAGCTGTGATTTCGTGTATAGGGCAAGGAGGAATAAACATCTTGTAGGAGTGAGGAAGAGCAGTTGTGAGTGTGGGGGAAGTTCGTGAGGCGTAGGATAAATGAAAGGGGGTAAGGCAGCCGGGATTGATGGGATAAAGATAGAAAGTTAAAAGCGGTGGGGATATAGTTTTGGAAAGTGGTTTTGCAATTATTTATAAATTTTGGGAAAGAGGGTAAGGTACCTAGGGATTGGCAGAAGAGCTGCATAGTCTTTGTATAAGAAAGGGGATAAAAGAGGAGTGCAAAAATTATAGGGGGATAAGTCTGTTGAAGTGTACTGGTAAGTGTAGGTTAGGAGTTAAATTGAAGTTTAAAGGAGTAAGAGGAGAATAGGATAGCAGATGAACAATGGAGGCTTTAGGAAAGGTAGGGGGGTGTGACAGGTTTGTTTACAGTGAAATATAAGTTGAACAGTAATTTGAAAGGCTAAAGAGGTCTTTGTGCATTTTTGGATTTGAAAAGGCCCATTGACGGGGTGGATAGGGGGGCAATGTGGCAATGTTGCAAGTGTTGGTGTAGGAGGTGGTTTACCTGAAAGCAGTGAAGAGTTTTTAGAGGATAGTGAGGCTTAAGTTAGAGTATGTAGGAAAGAGGAAATTTTTTCCAGTAAAGTAGGCCCCTTAGACAAGGATGTGTGATGCACCGGGGGTTGGTTTAATATATTATAGATGGGGTTGTAAGAGAAGTAAATGCGAGGGTCTTGGCAAAGGCGTGGATTTAAAAGATAAAGAATCACACACAAATGGATTGTCACAGCTGCTTTGCTTGCACTGTCTTTGGGAGATTTAGAGAAGTTGCAGAGATTGGGGATAAATTTTTGGTAGGGTTGCAAAGAGAAAATTAAAGGTAATACAGGGAAGAGTAGGTTATGAGGTTAACAAAAAGATTAGGTGATGAAGTTGAAATCAGATTGGAGGGAGAGAGTATGGAGGAGGTGAACGTATTCAGATATTTGGGAGTGGACGTGTCAGCGGATGGGTCTTTTGAAAGATGAGGTGAATCATAGAATTGACGAGGGAAAAAGAGTGAGTGGTGCACTTAGGAGTCTTGGAGAAAAGAACTTTGTCCTTGGAGGCAAAGAGGGGAATGTAGAGAGTATAGTTTTACCAACGCTCTTATATGGGTGTGAAGCGTGGGTGATGAATGTTGCAGCGAGGAGAAGGCTGGAGGCAGTGGAGATGTCATGTCTGAGGGCAATGTGTGGTGTGAATATAATGCAGAGAATTCGTGTTTGGAAGTTAGGAGGAGGTGCGGGATTACCAAAACTGTTGTCCAGAGGGCTGAGGAAGGGTTGTTGAGGTGGTTCGGACATTTTAGAGAGAATGGAGCGAAACAAAAATGACTTCAAGAGTGTATCAGTTGTAGTGGAAGGAAGGCGGGGTAGGGGTCGGCCTAGGAAGGGTTGGAGGGGGGGGGAAAAGGAGGTTTTGTGTGCGAGGGGCTTGGACTTCCAGCAGGCATGCGTGAGCGTGTTTGATAGGAGTGAATGGAGACAAATGGTTTTTAATACTTGACGTGCTGTTGGAGTGTGAGCAAAGTAACATTTATGAAGGGATTCAGGGAAACCGGCAGGCCGGACTTGAGTCCTGGAGATGGGAAGTACAGTGCCTGCACTCTGAAGGAGGGGTGTTAATGTTGCAGTTTAAAAACTGTAGTGTAAAGCACCCTTCTGGCAAGACAGTGATGGAGTGAATGATGGTGAAAGTTTTTCTTTTTCGGGCCACCCTGCCTTGGTGGGAATCGGCCGGTGTGATAATAAAAAAAAATTAAAAATAAGATATTGTACATTAGAGAACATATTTAAATACATACCTTGTACTCTGTATTTCTCTCTAGTTCAAACCAATTGTAGTTCTCATTACCAATCACAAGCGCCATTAGTTCCATTGGCTGGAAAAGCTTCAGTACTACACATCCACAGACGCGGTAGAACCCATCATGAAATGCTTTGTACTGGCTTTCTATGCTCTTGTTTAACTTGTAATCAACAAGAAGATCAACATACTCCTGCCTTGGAAGAAAATTATTTTTTTTTTTTTTTTTTTTCAACAAGTCGGCCGTCTCCCACCGAGGCAGGGTGACCCAAAAAAGAAAGAAAATCCCCAAAAAGAAAATACTTTCATCATCATTCAACACTTTCACCACACTCGCACATTATCACTGTTTTTGCAGAGGTGCTCAGAATACAACAGTCTAGAAGCATACACATATAAAGATACACAACATATCCCTCCAAACTGCCAATATCCCAAACCCCTCCTTTAAAGTGCATGCATTGTACTTCCCATTTCCAGGACTCGAGTCCGACTATAGGGAAAAAAACCGGTTTCCCCGAAACCCTTCACTAAATATTACCCTGCTCACACTCCACAAGATCGTCAGGTCCCAAGTACCATTCGTCTCCATTCACTCCTATCTAACACGCTCACGCACGCTTGCTGGGAAATCCAAGCCCCCTTTCCCACAAAACCTCCTTTACCCCTCTCTCCAACCCTTTCGAGGACGACCCCTACCCCGCCTTCCTTCCCCCATAGATTTATATGCTTTCCATGTCATTTACTTTGATCCATTCTCTCTAAATGACCAACCCCCTCAACAACCCCCTCTTCTGCCCTCTGACTATACTTTTATTAACTCCACACCATTCCTAATTTCCACACTCCGAATTTTCTGCATAATATTTACACCACACATTGCCCTTAAACAGGACATCTCCACTGCCTCCAACCGTTTTCCTCGCTGCTGCATTTACCACCCCAAACTTCACACCCATATAAGAGTGTTGGTACTACTATACTTTCATACATTCCCTTCTATGCCTCCATAGATAACGTTTTTTGACTCACATATACCTCAACGCACCACTTCACCTTTTTTCCCTCATCAATTCTATGATTAACCTCATCCTTCATAAATCCATCCGCCGACACGTCAACTCCCAAGTATCTGAAAACATTCACTTCTTCCATACTCCTCCTCCCCAATTTAATATCCAATTTTTCTTTATCTAAATCATTTGACACCCTCATCACCTTACTCTTTTCTATGTTCACTTTCAACTTTCTACCTTTACACACATTCCCAAACTCATCCACTATACCTTTGCAATTTTTCTTTAGAATCTCCCATAAGCACAGTATCATCAGCAAAAAGTAACTGTGTCAATTCCCATTTTGAATTTGATTCCCAAAATTTAATACCACCCCTCTCCCGAACCACCCTAGCATTTACTTCCTTTACAACCCATCTATAATATATTAAAAAACCATGGTGACATTACACATCCCTGTCTAAGACCTACTTTTACCAGGAAGTAGTCTCCCTCTCTTCTACCACCTAACCTGAGCCTCACTATCCTCATAAAAACTATTTTACAGCATTTAATACTTACCACCTATTCCATATACTTGCAACATCTGCCACATTGCTCCTCTATCCACTCTATCATATGCCTTTTCTAAATCCATAAATGCAATAAAAACTTCCCTACCTTTATCTAAATACTGTTCACATATTGCTTCAATGTAAACACTTGATCTACACATCCCCTACCCACTCTGAAACCTCCTTGCTCATCCGTAATCCTACATTCTGTCTTACCTCTAATTCTTTCAATTATAACCCTACCGTACACTTTTCCTGGTATACTCAGTAAGCTTATTCCTCTATAATTTTTTACAGTCTCTTTTGTCCCCTTTCCTTTATATAAAGGGACTATACATGCTCTCCGCCATCTCTAGGTACCTTCCCCTCTTTCATACATTTATTAAACAAAAGTACCAACCACTCCAACACTATATCCCCCCTGCTTTTAACATTTCTGTCATGATCCCATCAGTCCAGCTGCTTTACCCCCTTTTCATTTTACGTAATGCCTCACGTACCTCCCCCACACTTACATTCTGCTCTTCTTCACTCCTAAAAGATGGTATACCTCCCTGACCAGTGCATGAAATTACTGCCTCTGTTTCTTCCTTAACATTTAAAAGTTCTCAAAATATTCTCGCCATCTACCCAATACCTCCATCTCCCCATCTACTAACTCCCCTACTCTGTTTTTAACTGACAAATCCATATTTTCCCTAGGCTTTCTCTAACTTGTTTAACTCACTCCAAAATTTTTTCTTATTTTCATTAAAAATTTCTTGACAGTGCCTCTCCCACTCTATCATCTGCTCTCCTTTTGCACTCTCTCACCACTCTCTTTACCTTTCTTTTACTTCCATATACTCTGCTCTTCTTATAACACTTCTGCTTTGTAAAAAACTCTCATAAGCTACCTTTTTCTCTTTTATCACACCCTTTACTTCATCATTCCACCATCACTCCTCTTTCCTCCTGCTCCCACCCTCCTATAACCACAAACTTCTGCCCCACATTCTAATACTGCATTTTTAAAACTATTCCAACCCTCTTCAACCCCCCCACTACTCATCTTTGCACTAGCCCACCTTTCTGCCAATAGTCGCTTATATCTCACCCGAACTTCCTCCTCCCTTAGTTTATACACTTTCACCTCCCTCTTACTTGTTGTTGCCACCTTCCTCTTTTCCCATCTACCTCTTACTCTAACTGTAGCTACAACTAAATAATGATCCGATATATCAGTTGCCCCTCTATAAACATGTACATCCTGGAGCCTACCCATCAACCTTTTATCCACCAATACATAATCTAATAAACTACTTTCATTACGGCTACATCATACCTGTATATTTATTTTTCCTCTTTTTCATAAATATGTATTACTTATTACCAAATTTCTTTCTACACATAGCTCAATTAAAGGCTCCCCATTTACATTTACCCCTGGCACCCCAAATTTACCTACTACTCCCTCCATAACATTTTTACCCACTTTAGCATTGAAATCCCCAACCACCATTACTCTCACACTTGATTCAAAACTCCCCACGCATTCACTCAACATTTACCAAAATCTCTCTCTCTCCTCTACACTTCTCTCTTCTCCAGGTGCATACACGCTTATTATAACCCACTTTTCACATCCAATCTTTATTTTACTCCACATAATCCTTGAATTAATACATTTATAGTCCCTCTTTTCCTGCCATAGCTTATCCTTCAACATTATTGCTACTCCTTCTTTAGCTCTAACTCTATTTGAAACCCCTGACCTAATCCCATTTATTAAATATTTATTTAAAAATATCAAAAACATAAATTTTACCAGGTGAAATTTTAGGTTTACACATCTGTCACAGGCAACCCAGATTTATACAATGAGGTTTGGTGACCCCAAAATATTGACTGAAAGATTTTACTCTTTTTTTTGGGTCACCCTACCTCAGTGGAAGATGGTTGGTTTGTTAACAAAAAAATAACCTTTTTCAATGATATGATATATCTTACTACATTGTAACAAAACAAGGTGTGGTATACTAAAATTATTATTATAGTGTATATCTACCTATAAGGGAGCAAGGGGCTAGTAACCTCTTCTCCTATATATATTACTAAATGTAAAAGGAGAAACTTTTGTTTTTCCTCTTGGGCCACCCCGCCTCGGTGGGATACGGCCGGTGTGTTGAAAGAAAGAAAGATCAACCTATAAGTATTTTATTTATTAACTTGCATACTGAGTAAATGTTCAGCAAAGAGCTGTAGAGTTCATAATACAAAACATGTATATTAACCCTTTCAGGGTTTGTGCCGTAGATCTACAGCTTTACGTTGAGGGTCCAAACCATAGATCTACGCCATGAGCTCAGCTCACTCTAATAAGCTGTGAGTGGTAAATTTGGGCCTAGATATGAGAGAATACATCTATGTGGTATGTGTGCACCACATAAAACAAATCCTGCAGCACACAGTACATAATGAGAGAAAAAAAACTGAGGCCGTAATTTTCGATTAAAACAGCGACTTTACAGTGTTTTTTCGTATGCTTTTTATAGTTGTATTTGCAATTTCTTGGTCTCATTTGATAGAATGGAAGATATATTACAGAAATAGAGATGATTTTGATTTGTTTTAGTAATGGAAATGGCCTGAAACTGAGCTCAAAGTAGCGGATATGTTAAATTTTTGTCAATGTTCAAAAGTAAACAAATGACCTCACCTGTCTAATACACACCAGCTGGTGGGTCTAATATATGTTCACAAATGTGGTGATGTTATTTATACAATTATTACAATATAGCATAACAGCATATCTTCTATTTTTTGAATGAATAAAAATTCATTATGTGAATAAAAAATCAAAATGGAATTCATTTGTGAAGTCTGAAAACATAACTAATGAACAGAGGAAATGTTAGTTTAGTGCCAGGAATGCCTGCATTGTTTATTCTGGACCCTACTTAGAAATTGGAATACAGTGGAACCTCAAAAATCGAACTGCTCCCAACACGACCAATTATGTAAATGTATTTTTGTAAGTGCTTTTATAAGTGTATTTTTGAGGGTCTGAAATGGAGTAATCTAATTTACATTATTCCTGATGGGAATAAATTTATTCAGTAAAGGCACTCGAACAGCCTTCTGGACCGAAGAAAGTTCGATATTTGAGGTCCCACTGTACAGTGGACCCCCGTATAACGATTACCTCCGAATGCGACCAATTATGTAAGTGTATTTATGTAAGTGCGTTTGTACGTGTATGTTTGGGGGTCTGAAATGGACTAATCTACTTCACAATATTTCTTATGGGAACAAATTCGGTCAGTACTGGCACCTGAACATACTTCTGGAGTGAAAAAATATCGTTAACCGGGGGTCCACTGTATTATGAACTTGGCATTAAATTGGCCAAATTACCAATTTCCGATCACTTTATTTTGTAGTTGAAACGGTTGACTTGGCAATTTCTTGTGCTCAATCAATGTAATAGAAGTAATACTAGTGAAATAGCTAAGAATTTGGTTGACTGGAATAATGTAATTGGCCTAAAATGGGAGTCAAATTCAGTAAAATCGCCGATGCGTAAATATCGCTGACACATTAAAATTCGCGAGGGCATAATTTTGTCAATTTTCCATCATATTTCGTACTTTTTGTTTTATTACCTTCAGAAAAAGATTCTCTACCATTTCATAAGAAAAAATAACAAAATTATTTTTTGAAATTTCTTGGACCCTGGTACACACTGAAATTTGGCCTCTAGACCCTGAAAGGGTTAAGCTACTACAGCTATCACATCTACAATAAACCTGGCCACTCATACAGCCGTTTTTCACACTATAAACTTCTTACTTGTTCTGTAAGGTAACTGGAATATTTTCCCCATCAGGTTTGAGAGGAATACTTTTAGTTTCACCGAAAAAGTCTTGAGTAACTGTGAAATTCATACAATAAACTTCCTCAACATCATTTTCTTCATACTCCAACAGTTCATGAAGAGTCCTAAAAATAAAAGAATATACATTAGACTGTCTATTAACACATGATCTATTAACACTTTTAAGATGTAACTGTTCTTTTCTATGAACATGCCACATTTATTACTTAGCACAGAGTAAGAGTAGGGAAAAAACTGCTAAAAAGCAGAACACACAAAGGCTAGTAATGATAATTTATTTGAACTACTCACTGAAGTGCCTTTAAATTGTTTGATTACCCTAGTTGAACATGTAATGACTGATATTGTAAAAAAGTACACTAATTAAATGAGATAGTGAAAGGATGATCTTATGGCACTGCCATGACAGAGGTTTGTGTTTGAAGTTCAAAGAGCCACCACAGTATACACAGTTTATATGTAAATTGTTTATTACTACAGAAGTCACAGGTTTGATTAACTGATGTGACTAAATTAGCTATTTCCTACATACCAGTCAAGTCATACTGGAAATATAAATATGTATACTGGGTTCACGGGTTCTGCACCAGTCTCTGAGAAACTACCAACACTACTATTTATATACATTCTGCCTTTCCTCACTTCCATACTGATGTTTATAGAGGTATTGTACAGGGACACATCAACCCTCCCCACATATTTCCATATCAACAAGCAATGGCAACTACAGTGAATAGAAAACTTATTATTTTTTAGATTTGCTGAATTATAATGTTTAAAAAAATTAATAAAGTAACATTAGTAATTCAAATCTAAAACTTTTGGGTAATTTTCTGACTACTTTTCTTGCTTGTTTACAGTCATTGTCTCATGTCATGAAGCACTACATACAGAGGAAAGTTAACAGAATGTGTGTATAGGAATAAGTGGAATTGAAGTCATTTATCAATGGATACAAAAAATAACAATGTATCACAGTATGGTGGAGCCTAAACTTTTGACAGGCTATTGCCATTTGAATTGCTTCCTATCTTTCCAATAATGGGAAGGTCGGAGGCAATGCAAATTCTATATCTACAATCAATATATCGAGTGCATATTTAATAGAATAAAAATTAATTAGAAAATAACCTGTGTAATATGAAAAGTCTAATTCAGAGAGTGACGATACTGTTGAAATGGTCTCATATACAGTGGAATAAGATAGTCTGATTATTGTGTGAAAGTAGGGTGGCAATGTGATTCAATGGACTATCACTAGATCATGATTATCATTTTACCATTATTATATTTTTAATATTTTTATTATTAATTTTACTATTATTATTACTTTACCTTGTAAGATGAGGATCCAAGTCTACAAGATCATCAAGGCCAACTGATTGACCAAGTAACTTTTTGTAGAGAGCCAAAGGAAATGGAAGATTGATGATGGTGAAGTTGTATATGGCAAGGCCACACACAATCCCTGGAAACAAGAATGGCTCATATTACCACTAATTAACAGCTTTTTTATATATTGGAAAATAACATACATTTTGTGCATGTCAATAACTTTATCATTTAGCTTTCAACTAACTTACTATTTAAAAGGTATTGCATATAGTAATGTCAAACTCAACATCTGAAGATTGGTACAAAATTATATAAAACACAATTTATGCAACTTAACTTTTACTTGGAGCCTCTCCAACCAAAGTAGGGTAGCCCAAAGAATTATACAATCACTATTGCTCATTCAGTAGCTGTCTTGCCAGTAGTGCATAGACATCACAGTTCAAATGACCCTCTGAACAGCAGCATCCTCACCCATTGTTCAGAGACTAGGTCCTGTATTTCCCATCTCCAGAACTCACATCTAGCTAACAATTTCTTACTGAATTCCTTCACAAAACTTCCAAGCCCTCACACCAACACCAATATTTATAAAATATAAAAATATACTTAAAAGTTTTTTTTTAACTTGAAGAAATATTTAAAAGTATTTTTTTTTTTTACCATGGTTTGTCCTTACTACCAGCAACACCTCAAATTACTTTAATGAACTTTTATGTAGAAATAAATTTAAAAAGCAAGGTAGAGTATTTAGAATGTTTAGGTTAGATTCAAGGAGAAAGCAAACACATAATATATGATGCTGACTGTGGGCAAGGAGTGATTAGTATCAGTCCAATTTAGAGGATCCCACATGAGTATCATATCAGATATTAAGATGAAAAAATATAGTATTGCATTTTAAACAGCAAGTTTTTACAAAATTATAAATGCTACACTTCTTTCTTTCTTTCACACACCGGCCGTATCCCACCAAGGCAAGGTGGCCCAAAAGAAAAAACAAAAGTTTCTCCTTTTACATTTAGTAATGTATACAAGAGAAGGGGTTACTAGCCCTTTACTCCTGGCATTGTAGTTGCCTCCTATGACACGCATGGCTTACCGAGGAAGAATTCTGTTCCACTTCCCCATGGAGATGAGTGGAAATAAACAAGAACTAGTAAGAAAAATAGAAAACCCAGAAGGGTGTGTATATACAGTGGACCCCCGCATAACGATTACCTCCGAATGCGACCAATTATGTAAGTGTATTTATGTAAGTGCGTTTGTATGTGCATGTTTGGGGGTCTGAAATGGACTAATCTACTTCACAATATTTCTTATGGGAACAAATTCGGTCAGTACTGGCACCTGAACATACTTCTGGAGTGAAAAAATATCGTTAACCGGGGGTCCACTGTATATGCTTGTACAGGCATGTGTAGTGTGGCCCTAATGTAAGTAGAAGTAGAAAGACGTCCCTGAAATCTTGCATGTTTACGAGACAAAAAGAAGACACCAGCAATTCTACCATCATGTAAAACAATTACAGGCTTTCGTTTTCCAGCTCACTTGGCAGGACAGTAGTACCTCTCTGAGCGGTTGCTGTCTACCGACCTACTACCTAGGAAATACTACTACACTTTGATCTCGGCTAAAAAACCAAGAAAAAATTTGATTATCCATGAGCATAGAGCACATCATTTATAACATATAGTATTTTACTTACCAATAAGGGAATAGGTAGCAGCAGTTTCTAGAGAGCTTTCCTTGAACCAAATGGTACGTGTATCTGGGTACTCTGTGAACATACCATAGTCTGGGTTCAGTAATTCACGTAAAAGGAGAAGAAAAAACTCTTTGCGAACACCTCCAGCATCTTCAGCTTCTTCGCCAATAAAATGTACCTGAGAGTATAATTCATTAGAAAAAGAGAAAACTCTGGAAATCAATAAAAACATTTAATGATAAAATGCTAGCTTATGGGGCAAGGGGGGGGGTAGAAATGTGGTAAAAAATAAGTTTTAATGAGAAAATGTCAAGAAACAAGGGAAATAAGTCCTACAACTACCAAAAATCTTCCATTTATGACATTAAACACAGAAAAACCAGACACCACAAGCATAGCTTTGCTCCTGTAGCTACAAATAGAGTCACACACGCAAAACAATAAAAAAATACAAATAGATAAGAATTTGTTCTGCACTCTCAACAAGGATTGTGCAAGAAGTCTCAATTGTAAACAGAAAGTACTAAAAGGTGCTAGAAAGTTTTTTCTTTACAGATTTCTAAAATGTTGTAGTGAGATCAGAGGAGGCAGCAGGTGCTACACTGGAAAAATATTTTATCACAACATTCCACTAATTATTTGCATTCTCACCCACATCCACCTTCCAAAACCAGAGGCCTCTGTGCATTCTAGTAATGCATTCTTAAAATCAACTTACCTCCACAACCCCATTACATGTCCTTGCTCTAGTCTACCTTTCAAGCCAAACAATTTATTGCACATATATCAGCTGTCCCCTTCTTTGGTTCATTCACTTTCCCATTAAATTACAGTATATGACAACTTAAAAGCATTGCTCTGCTCCAGTAACTACAAACAGATTAGGAAGGCTAAGTTTGGCAAATTAGGTAAAGTGGTGTTCTTTCTTATACATCAAGATCACAGCAGCTGGTGCAAGTCACCCATAGCCTTATAAATAATATTAATCAAAACCACACAAGTAATTCCTCCAATACTGAAAACTGCATCAGTTACATAATAAATTAAAGTAGTAACCTTAAGAGGTCTTTTGTAATCAGTGACTTTATGGTGAAACAACTGGTTGACTGTGTCTTCAACGATGTTGTTACGGTGAATGTTAATATTTAGGAACTGTACTTGGGCAGGATTAAACAACCACAACATTGGGTTACTATTGATCACTGCTTCCTGAATGGCCCCTTGCATCTGAAAATGTAAAGAAAATTAAGTTTATTAACAAATAATGCAACAATTTTTTAAACACTTGCAAAAAATAAAAAAAAAAATCCTTTTATCATATGGTGCACTATGAAACCCCTCTTTCTTTAAGTATCTTTGCCTCCTAGTAAGCCATTTTCCAATTCAAATGAGATATCTGGAAAGACTACTAAACTGGCTGATACCTCCCTTTAATGGTTGCCTCCTATTCCTTTATATTCATGACCTACCAGATACATTTGAGCAACTCAAACTAGTACTCTGAAATTGACAAAGCATTTGTCACATTTTTTAAAGAATTTGACATATTAAGATTTCACTACATAATATGCATACCCAAATATACTCAGTGGTCACAGAATTAGGCACATCCTTCTAGTACTGGAGAGGGCCCTCTTTTGCCTCTAGAACAGCCCGAATTCTTCATGGCATAGATTCAATAAGGTGCTGGAAGCAATCCTTAGAGATTCTAATTCATGTTGACATGATAACATTACACAATTGCTGCAGATATGTCAGCTGCACATTCGTGTTGCAAATTTCCCATTTCATCATATCCCACAAGTGCTCTATTAGACCAAGATCTGGTGACTGGAGGCCACTGGAGTACACTTAACTCACTGTCATGTTCGTGGAACTAGCTTGAGATATGTGCTTTGTGACATGGTGCATTTACCAGTCGGGAAGAAGCTATTGGAAGATGGTAGACTGTAGCCATAAAGGGATGCACATGGTCAACAATAATACTCAGGAAGGCTGTGGCACTTAAATGAAGCTCAACTGGTATTATAGGGCCTAATGTGGGCCAGAAAAACATTTTCCACGCCTTTACACTACCACCACCAGCCTGAACCGTTGACGCAAGGCAGGATGGATCCATGTTGTTTATGCCAAATTCTGATACTACCAAACACATGGTGCAGCAGAAATTGAGATTCCTCACACCAGGGAAAGTTTTTCCAATCTTCAACTGTCCAGTTTTGGTGAGTCTGTGCTCAGTGTAGGCTCAGTCTCCTGTTCTTAGCTGACAGAGGTGGAACCTGGTGAGGTCTGCTGCTGTAGACCATCCACTTCAAGGTTTGACATGTTAGGCATTCAGAGATGATCTGCATACCACTGATGTAACAGGTGGTTATTTGAGAGTTACTGTTTCTTTCCTGTCAGCTCAGGCCAGACTGGCCATTCTCCTCTGATCCCTCTCATTATGGCACTTTCACCCACAGAACTGATGTTCACTGGATGTTTCATGTTTTTCACATTATTCTCTGTAAACTCTAGAGACTGTTGTACATGAAAATCTCAGATCAGCAGTTTCTGAGATACTTGAACTACCCCATCTGGAATCAACAATCATTTCATGGTCAAAATCACTTAGATCACATTTCTTCCCCATTTTGATGTTTGGGCTGAACAACTGAACCCCTTGACCATGTCTACATGCTTTCAGGTATTGAGGTGCTACCACATGATTGCCTGATTAGGTTTTTGCATTAATGAGGAGGTGTACATGCATACCAAATAAAAGTGGCCACCGAGTGTATATACAGTGAAACCCTGGATTTCGTCCAGTGCAGATATCGTACAATTCAGATTTCGACCACTTTTTTGGGTGAAATTTTACCCTGGGTTTCGTACTTCCACTTGGAAATCATATGTATCAGATGCACCCGCCCACCCGGGACGTGCCGCCACATGTATGTGACTCAGTCTGCCTCTGTCATTTTTTCAGTGAGCAATACTCTGTGCATTCATCTGAAGCATTGGTGGTAGAGGATGGTAGTGATGGTGGTAGAGGGTGGTAGTGATGGTAGAAGAGGGTGGTAGTGATGGTGGTAGTGAGGGTGGGAGAGGGTGGTTGTGATAGTGGGAGAGGGTGGTTGTGATGGTGGTAGAGGGTGGCTGTGGGTGTGATGGTGTTAGAGAATGGTAGCGATGGTGGTAGAGGGTGGTAGCGATGGTGGTAGAGGGTGGTAGTGATGGTGGTAGAGGGTGGTAGTGATGGTGGTAGTGATGGTGGTAGAGGGTGGTAGTGATGGTGGTAGAGGGTGGCAGTGATGGCAAACAATCGAAGATGCTGAGAAGTTGTTGGTGGGGTGGATCAATGAAAAACAATTAGCGGGAGATAGTGCTAAGGAGGCAATAATTTGCGAAAAGGCAAGGCAGTTGCATGCAGATCTCGTAAAGAATATGCCAACAAGAGTCTTCAATAAAGGTAAAAGTTATTTAAATGTTCATTTATCCATTAAAATTAGTGCTTTACATTTATTTATCATTGTTTTCTGTATGTAAAACTATGGTTATTTTATATAAAATGTACTTCATTGCTAATATTTTTGGGTGTCTGGAATGGATTAATTGGATTTACACTATTTCTTATGAGTAATATTACTTCAGTTTTTGTCCATTTCAGATTTCGACTGACCTTCTGGAACGGATTAAGGACGAAAACTGGGGTTCCACTGCACTTTATAGATTTTCTTTTACTGTTATTGTGCAAGAATAAAGATGAAAAAGACCTTGAAACACTCAATTGAAGCAAACCAAAGTAACAAACAGACTGTCCCAGATGTAAACTCAATATCGGGTACTGTATATAGTAAAAGTAAACCATACATTAGTACATCTGCACAAAAAAAGTTGCACCAAGTCAGAGACCAATAAACAGGAAATTTACTAATTATCCTCTTACCTGTCTTGTAGCATCTGCACGAAGCAGAAGAGTCTTAGCTTGAGCATCAAACAGGAAAGGATACTCACAAAAGGAAACAGGACTCTGAAAACAAAATTATTTAATACAGCAATTTATTCTTTTATTTATTAGGGTGATTCAACAATCATTATACAAATGAAGGCAATGCTTATTTAAATGCTTTTATGCAGTACAACTGACCAGTGATTAACAATACAAAATTGTACTGTCAACTTTAACAGTAATAATTATTAGGATTAGGAATGCTATAGAGGGATACAGCTGGATTGTTGAAAGCAAAGAAATAAATAAATATAGCTGTGACAAAGTCCAGTGTGTGAAAGTTGATTGAAATCTGGATAAGCAATTTGCATTAAATACCCTGTTTGACATTTGTATTTGATCTTCATAAATTTACATCAAGTCAACTTAACTGAACTGTCATATCCGAGTACCTCTGCAAAGACAGTGATTATGTGTGAATGATGGCAAAAGTGTCAAATGATGGTGATAATGTTTCTTTTTTTGGGTCATACTGCCTCAGTGGGAGACAGCTGAAATTGAAAAAAATTACATCAAACTCAGGTTTATTTAACAACATTCTTGGAAAAAAAAAAGAGGGATGCTTAGGTGGTATAGACATGTAGAGGATGAAGAGGATGATGTGTATAAATGAGTGGGAGAAGGTAGAAGGGGTTGGGGTTACCCCAGGAATGAGGCAGAAGAGACTTTGAGTTTTAGGGGATTGAGTATCCAGCAGGCTTATGTGAGTATGTCAGGAGTGAATGGAGACAAGCATTTTTTTAATGGATGTGGCATTAGAGTGTGAGCAAGGCAACCTTTCTAAAGGGATTCAGGGAAACAGTTAGCAAGACTCGAGTCCTAGAGGTGGGGGAAAAGGCAGTCCCTGCACTCTGAAAGATAGGTAGGGAGGTAATATAAATTGTGATGTCAGCACACTTCTGGCACAACAGCAACCGAATGAATGATGAAAGAGTTTCTTTGGATAACACTGCCTTGGCACACGACAGCCATTTAGAATTTTTTTTTTTTTTTTTAACAAGTCGGCCATCTCCCACCAAAGCAGGGTGACCCAAAAAGAAAAAAAAATCCCCAAAAAGAAAATACTTTCATCATCATTCAACACTTTCACCTCACTCACACATAATCATTGTTTTTGCAGAGGTGCTCAGAATACAACAATTTAGAAGCATATACGTATAAAGATACACAATATGTATATCCCTCCAAACTGCCAATATCCCAAACCCCTCCTTTAAAGTGCAGGCATTGTGCTTCCCATTTCCAGGACTCAAGTCCGACTATATATATATAAAAAAAAAAAAAACGGATTCCCTGAATCCCTTCACTAAATATTACCCTGCTCACACTCCAACAGCTCGTCAGGTCCCAAATACCATTCATCTCCATTCACTCCTATCTAACATGCTCATGCACGCTTGCTGGAAGTCCAAGCCCTTCGCCCAAAAAACCTCCTTTACCCCCCCTCCAACCTTTTCTACGACGACCCCTACCCCACCTTCCTTCCCCTACAGATTTATATGCTCTCCATGTCATTCTACTTTGATCCATTCTCTCTAAATGACCAAACCACCAACAATACCTCTTCAGCTCTCTGACTAATACTCCATCTCCTCGGTGCAGCATTTACAACCCAAGCTTCACACCCATATAAGAGTGTTGGTACCACTATACTTTCATACATTCCCTTCTTTGCCTCCATAGATAACATTTTTTTTCTCCACATATACCTCAACGCACCACTCACTTTTCTTTCCTTCATCAATTCTATGATTAACCTCATCCTTCATAAAACCATCCACTGACACATCAACTCCCAAATATCTGAAAACATTCACTTCTTTCACACTCCTCCTCTCCAATTTGTTAACCAATTTTTCTTTATTTAAATCATTTGATACCCTCATCACCTTACTCTTTTCTATGTTCACTTTCAACTTTCTACCTTTACACACTCTAGCAAACTCGTCCACTAACCTTTGCAATTTTTCTTTAAGAATCTCCCATAAGCACAATATCATCAGCAAAAAGCAACCGTGTTAATTCCCATTCTGTATTTGATTCCCCATAATTTAATCCCACCCCTCTCCTGAACACCCTAGCATTTACTTCTTTTACAACCCCATCTATAAATATATTAAACAACCATGGTGACATTACACATCCCTGTCTAAGACCTACTTTTACCAGAAAGTAATCTCCTCCTCTTCTACACACCCTAACCTGAGCCTCACTATCCTCATAAAAACTCTTTACAGCATTTAGTAACTTACCACCTATTCCATATACTAGCAACATCTGCCACATTGTTCCCCTATCCACTCTATCATATGCCTTTTCTAAATCTATAAATGCAATGAAAACTTCCCTACCCTTATCTAAATACTGTTCACATATATGCTTCAATGTAAACACTTGGTCTACACATCCCCTACCCACTCTAAAACCTCCTTGCTCATCCGCAATCCTACATTCTGTTTAACCTTTTCCTGGTATACTCAGTAAACTAATTCTTCTATAATTTTTACAATCTCTTTTGTCTCCCTTCCCTTTATATAAAGGAACTATTAATACTCTCTGCCAATCCCTAGGTACCTTCTCCTCTTTCATACATTTATTAAACAAAAATACCAACCACTAACAATAAATACCCCCCTGCTTTTAACATTTGTCATGATCCCATCAGTTCCAGCTGCTTTACCCCCTTTCATTCTACGTAATGCCTCACGCACCTCCCCCACACTCACATCCTGCTCTTCTTCACTCCTAAAAGATAGTACACCTCCCTGGCCAATGCATGAAATTACCGCCTCCCTTTCTTCGTCAACATTTAACCCCTTCAGGGTCCAAGGCCAAAATCTAAAGTGGTGCCCCAGTGTCCAAGAATTTAAAAAAAAAAAAAAAAAAAATTATTTTTTCTTATGAAATGGTAGAGAATCTTTTTGTGAAGGTAATAAAACAAAAAGTATGAAATTTGATAGAAAATTGACGAAATTATGCTCTCGCAAATTTTGATGTGTCAGCGATATTTACGAATCGGCGATTTTGCCGAATTTGACTCCCATTTTATGCCAATTACATTATTCCAGTCGACCAAATTCTTAGCTATTTCACTAGTATTACTTCCATTCTATCGATTGAGCACAAGAAATCCCCAAGTCAACTGTTTCAACTACAAAATGAAGTGATCGGAAATTGGTAATTTGGCCAATTTAACACAAAGTTCAAAATATTCCAATTTCAAAATAGGGTCCAGAATAAACAATGTAGCTATTCCTGGCACTAAACTAACATTTCCTCTGTTCATTAGTTACATTTTGAGGCTTTACAAATAAATTCCATTTTGATTTTTTATTCACATAATGAATTTTTTCACACCAAAAAATAGAAGATTTACTGTTATGCAATATTGTAATAATTGCATAAATATCATCACCACATTTGTGAATGTATATTAGACCCACCAGCTGGCGTGTATTAGACGTGTGAGGTCGTTTGTTTACTCTTGAACATCGGCAAAAATTTAACATTTCCGCTACTTTGAGCTCAGTTTCAAGCCATTTCCAGTGCTAAAACCAATCAAAATCATCTCTATTCCTGTAATATGTCTTCCATTCTATCAAATGAGACCAAGAAATCGCAAATACAACTATAAAAAACATACGAAAAAACACTGCAAAGTCGCTGTTTTAATTGAAAATCATGGTCTCAGTTTTTTTCTCTCATTATACACAGTGTGCTGCAGGATTTGTTTTATGTGGTGCACACATACCACATAGATGTATTCTCTCATATCTAGGCCCAAATGTACCACTCACAGTTTATCAGAGGGAGCTGAGCTCATGACGTAGATCTACGGTTTGGACCCTGAACGTAAAGCCGTAGATCTACGGGACGGACCCTGAAAGGGTTAAAAGTTCCTCAAAATATTCCCGCCATCTACCCAATACCTCCATCTTCCCATCTACTAACTCCCCTACTCTGTTTTTAACTGACAAATCCATTCATTCCCTAGGCTTTCTTAACTTATTTAACTCACTCCAAAATTTTTTCTTATTCCCATTAAAATTTCTTGCACTCTCTCACCACTCTCTTTACCTTTCTTTTACTCTCCATATACTCTACTCTTCTTATAACACTTCTGCTTTGTAAAAACCTCACATACGCTAACTTTTTCTCTTTTATCACACCCTTTACTTCATCATTCCACCAATCACTCCTCTTTCCTCCTGCCCCCACCCTCCTATAACCACAAACTTCTGCCCCACATTCTAATACTGCATTTTTAAAACTATTCCAACCCTCTTCAACCCCTCTAATAATCATACTTGCACTAGCCCACCTCTCTGCCAATAGTTGCCTATATATTATATATTATTATATATTATATATTATATTAATTATTATAATAGAGAAGATACATTACCATAGCAATGGAAAATTTTATATATTACCATAGCAACAGATAATTCTCTCCACTGACAACTTAATATAAATTAAAAATTTATTATTTAAAACATAAGAGCTGGGTACTGTATACTAATGGCAAAATTTTAATGTACAGTAAAGTATATGGAAAACTGATAGCGGAGATTTTAAAAAATACTAAACTACACTTACATCTGGTCTTATAGGTCTGATTTTGCTGCTAATCCAATTAAAATAATCTGATCTAATATCAATTTTTTCACCAATTTCAGGAATGTAGAATTCTTCATAATTTATTCTGGCTGCTTTAGCACCATCCTTAAAGTTTTCAGCATGAAGGAAAGATAACATCTTCAAGGATGACACTAGTGCACGTCTGTCAATCTGTGAAGATTGGTAAAAATACAGTGAAACTATTTAAATTACACTATTTATAGTATGGTGTATGCACTTACAATAAACAGATGTAACAGAAAAAAAAGGCCAGATATTTAATATGTATATTCAACAGTCAAGAAATATGAATTGTACAAGATGTCACATTCCCAAGCTTCTACTATACTAGCCTTCCATTAAGAATTTTTAATCACATAAAAATAGAAGATTTACTCTTTCTAGGAGAAAAAAATATAACCAGGAATGACTGATCATGGTTTACAACATCCCAATGATTGAATCAGACTTATTAAAAACCCATAAAACAGACTTGGGAGGTTTAGGCAGGCCTTACCCATTCTCAGAAATATTGGCAAAATTGAATATTTCCACTACATGAGCCCAATTTCAAGCTACTTCTGATACTGAAATTAATCTTCTCTATTTCAGACCCTCCCCTTGTGCTTCCTTTCACTAAACATACACAGAAGAAAAAAAAAGAGCATACCATACATCTTTGTATATACACACCTCAGAAGATTGTTTAGCATTGTTTAATATCTGAACAATAACAACCTTGTAGATAGTGATGAGTCGGATTGCAAAGTCTCTTGGCAAAACTTTCAGCCACATCTCTGCAAAGAAATAATCCTATATATGGTGCGTTGAGGTATATGTGGAGTCAAAAAACGTTATCTATGGAGGCAAAGAAGGGAATGTATGAAAGTATAGTAGTACCAGCACTCTTATATGGATGTGAAGCTTGGGTGGTAAATGCAGCAGCGAGGAGACGGTTGGAGGCAGTGGAGATGTCCTGTCTAAGGGCAATGTGTGGTGTAAATATTATGCAGAAAATTCGGAGTGTGGAAATTAGGAGAAGGTGTGGAGTTAATAAAAGCATTAGTCAGAGGGCAGAAGAGGGGTTGTTGAGGTGGTTTGGTCATTTAAAGAGAATGGATCAAAGTAGAATGACATGGAAAGCATATAAATCTATAGGGGAAGGAAGGAGGGGTAGGGGTCGTCCTCAAAAAGGTTGGAAAGAGGGGGTAAAGGAGGTTTTGTGGGCGAGGGGCTTGGACTTCCAGCAAGCGTGCATGAGCATGTTAGATAGGAGTGAATGGAGACGAATGATACTTGGGACCTGACGATCTGTTGGAGTGTGAGCAGGGTAATATTTAATGAAGGGATTCAGGGAAACCGGTTATTTTCATATAGTCGGACTTGAGTCCTGGAAATGGGAAGTACAATGCCTGCACTTCAAAGGAGGGGTTTGGGATATTGGCAGTTTGGAGGGATATGTTGTGTATCTTTATACGTATATGCTTCTAAACTGTTGTGTTCTGAGCACCTCTGCAAAAACAGTGATAATGTGTGAGTGTGGTGAAAGTGTTGAATGATGATGAAAGTATTTTCTTTTTTGGGTCACCCTGCCTCGGTGGGAGACGGCCGACTTGTTGAAAAAAAAAAAAATATAGAAAGACTGGAACAAAATATGTGTATATTATATAAAGGATGAATGGAAGGATGAAGGGTTGACAAGAATGTATAGTATGTATCAAGTACCCAGCATTATAACTGGGGACAGCTGTTGTGAAATTCCTATTTCACATTTTTTTTATGTATGCATTGCACTAAGTTTTTATTTCCCTTTCTCCCCCCAAAATTACAAAATTTGATGACATATTTTGCACTTGTGGCAATAGTTAATGCTATACGTGGCTCCACACATTTCTCCACTGTTACCAGATCTCAGCCTTAGGCAGGATCCCACATCTTACTCCTGTCAGGGAATCAGAGCTACTATCTCTAATCCCCTGCCCGCACCTCAAAAAGTATCGCCTTGTGTATTACAATATTTTAAATAAATACTTATTTAACTAACAATTAGTGGGATATAGCCAGTTTGTTGAAAGAAGAAGAGCTAAAAATGATAAATACTGTAACAAAGCCAGCTACCAGTTTCAAATTAATCAGATTTGAAATTGGGTCACTATCCGTTATGGCCATATTCACCCACAACTTTTACAATGAAACTGCTCGAAGCTTCTTGCACTAACATAAATAAAATACATTTACAAGTGAATAATACACACTATACAATAAAAAAAAAGTCACAGGAATATTGAAACTTAATATACTGATCAAAAACTAGCTGATCCAATGACTAACTGGATCAACAGCTAATATCTCTGCAACAAAGGCAAATTAATTCTTCCCATTCGTAGTTGTATGACCTATTTTTAACATTTACTATACTTACTAAAGATAGCAGCCATTTCTTTTTGCAAGCCTAGAAGAGCCTCTGCATATGGCAACTGCAACTTTGCTATATATCGTGAATCTACGAAGTCCTTAAAGAGAGGAAGAAGAATGAAACAACGGAGACTCTCTCTGCTTATTGGGTGATGAGGCAGATCCTTCACTATATTCTGCACACTGTTTTGTATCTGAAAATTGAATAGTAAACATTACTGATAGTGAATACTGACTACTCACATATTTAAGCCATTTCTTAACAGATGGAACTGGTTCACCAAACTGCACAGAATTTCAAGAAATTATTTTTCACCTGACCAGTAAGATCTAAGCTTCCCTCTCTCAATACATTTCAATGCCTTTTTGCTCTCAATGTTCCAGCAAGTGGCATTTGTTGCAAGAAATCTGTGTTATACAATTCAATCAGTATCTACTGCATACCCTATTTTCTGGCATACAAGGTGCACTTTTTTTTTTTGACAAAAAGTCTTTGAAAAAACAGCCTGCACCTTATATGCTCAATGACAGGCTTTGGGTTATGCTTTAGCAGTTGTTAACTGTAATTGTTTTACATGATGGTAGGATTGCTGATGTCTTTTGTCTGTCTCATAAATATGCAAGATTACAGGTATGTCTTGCTACTTCTACTTACACTTAGGTCACACTACACATACATGTACACATTTATTTATACACACTCATCTGAGTTTTCTTTGATTTTATCTTAATAGTTCTTGGTCTTATTACTTTTCCTTTTATATCCATGGGGAAGTGGAATAAGAATCTTTCCTCCGTAAGCCATGCGTGTTGTAAAAGTCAACTAAAATGCCGGGAACAATGGGCTAGTAACCCCTTTTCCTGTAAAGATTACTAAAAAGAATAGAAGAAGAAAATTGTCAAAGTGGGAAGTCTGAATGTGCGGGGATGTTGTGCAAATGATAAGAAAGAGATGATTGTGGATGTTATGAATGAGAAGAAGCTGGATGTCCTGGCTTTAAGTGAAACAAAGCTGAAGGGGGTGGGAGAGTTTCAATGGAGAGGAATAAATGGGATTAGGTCAGGGGTTTTCAAATAGAGTTAGAGCTAAAGAAGGAGTAGCAATAATGTTGAAGGATAAGCTATGGCAGGAAAAGAGGGACTATAAATGTATTAATTCAAGGATTATGTGGAGTAAAATAAAGATTGGATGTGAAAAGTGGGTTTAAATAAGCGTGTATGCACCTGAGAGAAGGAGAAGTGTAGAGAGAAGAGAGAGAATTTTGGGAAATGTTGAGTGAATGCGTGGGGAGTTTTGAATCAAGTGTGAGAGTAATGGTGGTTGGGGGTTTCTATGCTAAAGTGGGTAAAAATGTTATGGAGGGAGTAGTAGGTAAATTTGGGGTGCCAGGGGTAAATGTAAATGGGGAGCCTTTAATTGAGCTATGTGTAGAAAGAGACTTGGTAATAAGTAATACATATTTTATGAAAAAGAGGATAAATAAATATACAAGGTATGATGTAGCATGTAATGAAAGTAGTTTATTAGATTATGTATTGGTGGATAAAAGGTTGATGGGTAGGCTCCAGGATGTACATGTTTATAGAGGGGCAACTGATATATCGGATCATTATTTAGTTGTAGCTACAGTTAGAGTAAGAGGTAGATGGGAAAAGAGGAAGGTGGCAACAACAAGTAAGAGGGAGGTGAAAGTGTATAAACAAAGGGAGGAGGAAGTTCGGGTGAGATATAAGCGACTATTGGCAGAAAGGTGGGCTAGTGCAAAGATGAGTAGTGGGGGGGAGGGGTTGAAGAGGGTTGGAATAGTTTTAAAAATGCAGTATTAGAATGTGGGGCAGAAGTTTGTGGTTATAGGAGGGTGGGGGCAGGAGGAAAGAGGAGTGATTGGTGGAATGATGAAGTAAAGGGTGTGATAAAAGAGAAAAAGGTAGCTTATGAGAGGTTTTTACAAAGCAGAAGTGTTATAAGAAGAGCAGAGTATATGGAGAGTAAAAGAAAGGTGAAGAGAGTGGTGAGAGAGTGCAAAAGGAGAGCAGATGATAGAGTGGGGAGAGGCACTGTCAAGAAATTTTAATGAAAATAAGAAAAATTTTTGGAGTGAGTTAAACAAGTTTAGAAAAGAGTAAGGTGATGAGGGTATCAAATGATTTACATAAAGAAAAATTGGATATCAAATTGGGGAGGAGGAGTATGGAAGAAGTGAATGTTTTCAGATACTTGGGAGTTGACGTGTCGGCGGATGGATTTATGAAGGATGAGGTTAATCATAGAATTGATGAGGGAAAAAAGGTGAGTGGTGCGTTGAGGTATATGTTATCTATGTTATCTATGGAGGCAAAGAAGGGAATGTATGAAAGTATAGTAGTACCAACACTCTTATATGGGTGTGAAGCTTGGGTGGTAAATGCAGCAGCGAGGAGACAGTTGGAGGCAGTGGAGATGTCCTGTCTAAGGGCAATGTGTGGTGTAAATATTATGCAGAAAATTCGGAGTGTGGAAATTAGGAAAAGGTGTGGAGTTAATAAAAGTATTAGTCAGAGGGCAGAAGAGGGGTTGTTGAGGTGGTTTGGTCATTTAGAGAGAATGTATCAAAGTAGAATGACATGGAAAGCATATAAATCTATAGGGGAAGGAAGGCGGGGTAGGGGTCGTCCTCGAAAGGGTTGGAGAGAGGGGGTAAAGGAGGTTTTGTGGGCAAGGGGCTTGGACTTCCAGCAAGCGTGCGTGAGCGTGTTAGATAGGAGTGAATGGAGACGAATGGTACTTGGGACCTGACGATCTGTTGGAGTGTGAGCAGGGTAATATTTAGTGAAGGGATTCAGGGAAACCGGTTATTTTCATATAGTCGAACTTGAGTCCAGGAAATGGGAAGTACAATGCCTGCACTTTAAAGGAGGGGTTTGGGATATTGGCAGTTTGGAGGGATATGTTGTGTATCTTTATATGTGTATGCTTCTAAACTGTTGTATTCTGAGCACCTCTGCAAAAACAGTGATAATGTGTGAGTGTGGTGAAAGTGTTGAATGATGATGAAAGTATTTTCTTTTTGGGGATTTTCTTTCTTTTTTGGGTCACCCTGCCTCAGTGGGAGACGGCCGACTTGTTGGAAAGAAAAAAAAAAAAAAACTAACATCACATTACAACTACTTGGAAACATCGTCTTGTATGTTTCATACAATTGTGCACTTTGTGTGCAGGAAAACACAGTAATTCTCAGAAGCCCTACATGTAGCAAAATTAAAGTACATATACAATATTTGATAGGATGTACCTGTCAGGTCCCCTAAAACAAGACCATAAACTGCTTATCATAAAAACCTGCTATATGTATATATAATACACACCCTGCCTTGGTGGGAAACGGCAGATGTGTTAAAAAAAATATTGAAAAAACAAAATCATTAGTACCATCTTTTGTGCACAAAAAATAAGTTAATACAAAGAGCAAGGAATATGGATTTCAATGACATTACTCAAAAATATCACAAAATGTTGTACAATACTCACTACTTCCTGTATGGAAGCTCGAGGAATCCGGCCAAGTTTTCCCACGTAGTCTTCTGCCAATCTGTAATCCAACCCATGACTATGCTTCTCAGAATCCTTCATTATAAATGAAGAGTTCCAGGATGCCAAGGATCCAAATGCAGTTTCTATATACCTAAGAGTAAAATTGAAATAGTCAATAAAGAACAGTGTGTGCACACATACCCCACCCACTTAACTCCATCACTGTCTTGCCAGAGCCAAACTGACATTACAATTCAGATGCTGCTTAAAACTACAAAAATATCCTCAGACCACCTTCAGAATGCAGGCACTGTACTTCCCACCTCCAGGACTCAAGTCTGGCAAATCAATTTCCCTGAATCCCTTCTTAAATGTTACCTTGTTCACACTCCAACAGCATGTCTAGTCATAAAAACACTTGCCTCCACTCACTATGTTACATGCTCTCACACACCTGCTGAATGTCTAAGCCCCTCCCATACAAAACCTCCATTACCCACTCCTGCCAATTTTCCTCAGGCAACCCCTACCCTACCATTCCTCCATTACAGCTTTATACACCCTCCAAGTTATCCTACTTTGCTCCATCCTTTCTATATTATAATAATATTATGAACTTACCATAATTGTAGCATACTCATTTCTGAGTATGCCACAATTAAAGGGTTATATGGACATGAAGTCTTTGTCTGGCCAGATTTTTTGTCCATTTAGCTGATATTTGCTTTCTGAAGGTCCATTTTACATACACAGAAGATAAATTTGGTAAAAGGAAAAAAATTCATTCAATCATAATCCATATATAATACAATATCAGAAAAATTCAACAATTCTTCACTTAATTTTTTTGCAAAAAATTAGAAGCATACTAGATAGGCAACAAATGGCTACATGACAAATATGAATGACATTGGTCAAAAAAAAAAAAAAAAACTACAGAAATTCTACCATAATTCTCCCATTCACCCTCTGTCCTTCACTACAAGCATCTAGAATACAGCACACAATCTGTGAATATACAGTATATCTCCCTATTACTTTCGTCTTGACTTTCCCTGGTTCTGACTGTGCTGAAACATATTTTTTTCCCCCACTGAACCATTAGCTTTCCATTTATATTTATATGACAATATACACTTGGAAAATCGCAGAGGGATTAGTACCAAACTTGCACACAAAAACCACTTCCTAAGAAAGCAAAAGACTCATTTCCTCAATGAGAAGCAGGAGGACCACAACTACACTTAGAGACAACACAGTAAGTGTCAGGGGCCCAAGACTGTTCAACTGCCTCCCAGCATACATAAGGTGGATTACAAACGGACCCCTCTCTGTCTTCAAGAAGGTGCTGGAGAGTCACCTAAAGTCAGTACTCATGGTTCGTACATCAGTTTATGTTTAGCCAGCAGTAACAGCCTGGTTGATCAGACCCTGATCCATCACGAGGCCTGGTCTCAGACCAGGCCACGGGGGTGTTGACCCCTGAAACCCTCTCCAGGTAAACTTTAAATCCTATGATTGGAAACCAACTAAAGGATTTCCTTCAAAATATGCTCAGTTGACTTCCCACACCCAAATCTTGTTTTTCTCATGTCAAGTCTCACTGTCAGTAAACTAGTCAATGATATTTAAAGAAACACTGTGGGGAAAATCAGGTGATTGCATGAAAGTAAATTTATAAAAGGTAGAAATGGGGTCAACAAAAATTCACAAAGCAAATACCTAAAGTAAAGAAAGTGCAGATGCAGAGAAATATCAAATTGTAAGACATCATCTTACTTTAATTCGCCTGCTTTGCAAGCACACACAAAATCAGCACCGAGATACAGAAACCCTGATTTCCCTTCCCCTCACAATGATATTTTCAGTAGTATTTATGGCCAAGCAATCTGCAATCCTTCAATTTTTTTTCCAACAAACTGGCCATCTCCCAGCAAGGTAGAGTGACCCAAAAATGAAGAAACTTTCACCACCACTCACTCCAGCACTGTCTTGAAGAGAGGTGCGCAATACCACAGTTCAAAACTGCAAATATCTCCACCCCTCCTTTAAAGTGCAAGCACTGTACTTCCCAACTCCAGGACTCAAGTCCTGGAGATCTTTTCTTTCTTTCAACAAACTGGCCATATCCCACAGAGGCAGGGTGGCCCAAAAAGAAAAATGAAAGTTTCTCTTTTTAACTTTAGTTGTATATATAGGAGAAGGGGTTACTAGCCCCTTACTGGAGATATATTTACTAAAATGATAATAAAATAGATTTAGACAATTATTGTAAAGGGCTACTTGCGTAAATAAATCATCAGGAATCATATCTTCTTCACCAATTCCCATCATCTCGTTTATTTTTTCCTCTTCTATTATTAAAGGCAGCTGCAGTGGGTGTCTCTGGCAGTAATCATCAGCAACTCCTGATTCTTTCATTACTGCAGCCATGCTTGCATCACCACCAGCAAATATCTGTCATAAAATAAAATTGAGACAAACTAAAAAATGTAACCTGATGCTGTACTGATTAGTTCACTAAAAGTTAAGCTATTATCTTTTTATACATTGAAAGGGTTTGACATTTTGAAAACTTTTGAATTCAATCTGTATAATAACCTATTTTCCTATGGTTTTTCACTTCTGAGTAATACTGAATATTACAGTGAATATTCCTTTACAATCAAATCAGAATACTACCAACACAATTATAATTCACAAAAAACATTACATTAATGGTCTTGTTATTAAGCCACAATGAAACCTAGATTAAGTATGAAAATCGAACTCTTAATATGCTGCAGTATACTTGTATAGAATACTATCTAGGTTACCTACTTTATAGGTAACTTAATTTTCTTTGTTTTTAAACAATGTTAACATCAAAGAGGATTTACCATATGAGATGTCTGAATGAATGGGCTTTGTTATTACTTCTGGTACTATACCATTTTTTAATATGACACTATGTATATATCCCTGTTCTATCCATTACTGACTGTACACTGGGTTGTTGTACATTTGAGCCTGGGATATGAAAGACCAGTTGCCTGTGTTCCACTGCCATGAATCTGATCTGTACCATCTTTTTATTTACTTTTTATTTCATCTCTACCAAAAAATTATTTATTATCATATACAGTACTCAGGAGAAAATCAATTCAGCATATATTATTATTATTATTATTATTATTATTATTATTATTATTATTATTATTATTATTATTATTATTATTAACACACTGGCCAATTCCCACCAAGGCAGGGTGGCCCAAAAAAGAAAAACTTTCACCATCATTCACTCCATCACTGTCTTGCCAGAAGGGTGCTTTACACTACAGTTTTTAAACTGCAACATTAACACCCCTCCTTCAGCATATATGTTGAGTTTAATTTCTTTAAGATTCAATTTACCTTCTTAATGTAAACTTTTGGACTATCATCAGTGTTATCCAAAAGACTGGCCCCACTCGGTGAAAGCCATGGCCCAACCACCACCTGAGGTAAATTACGGTTGTGTGGAGTCTTTATTCCCAACTGTCCTGACATGCCTTGGCCAAATGCATACAGCTGACCCTGAAAAAAAAATCACTTTTGGTACAATTAAAATGTAAAACAGCCTATAGTTAATATGCTAATTTTTAATGTGCATATGCATGAATGGTAGCTCCATAATGCCTACCACGCTTCAAATAAAAAATCTTTTGTATATCTCTGTCTAACATGGATGAATGACACACATTCTCAATGTTCAGTCTTACCAGAAACATCACACATCATATATAGCATACCTGTACCAAGCAACAACAAATTAAGAAGTTAACATTGTCTATATAGTGGAAAATTAATCAAACCAGACTAAAAACCCTAACTAAAAATAACGTATTTCTACACATAATTAGGAACCATTGCCAGACTAGGAACCATTGCCAGACTAAGTTGCTCTTGACTCAAATACCAATTACCTCAAAGTTAAAACCCAAGCTCTTCAAACAATGGGAAAGGGTAAATATCAAGGGAATAAAGAAAGATTTAACAGTAGAATGAAAAATTGCCAGTGAAAATTTTTCTGATCTTCCAAGGAAAAGGCTGCCCCTTTTTTCTCATGGTCAAGATTAACACTGGCAAAATCTGAAGTGAAGACAGATAAAAATATTACCCTCGAGGCATACATATAGATTAATGCCATCTCCAAATTCAAAACAAAAATTCACAGGAATTTCCAAACACCAATTCTTTCAAATACAATGTCAAGAGTCAAGGTGAAGCAACACAGTACTCACCTCACCTAGTTGTACTCACCTAGTTGAAGTTGCGGGGGTCGAGTCCGAGCTCCTGGCCCCGCCTCTTCACTGATCGCTACTAGGTCACTCTCCCTGAACCGTGAGCTTTATCATACCTCTGCAGTGAGTGAGTGAGTGAGTGAGTGAGTGAGTGAGTGTGTGAGTGAGTGTGAGTGTGAGTGTGTGTGGTGTGTGTGTGTGTGTGTGTGGTGTGTGTGTGTGTGTGTGTGTGTGTGGAGTGTGTGGTGTGTGAGTGTGTGAGTGTGTGTGTGTGTGTGTGGTGTGTGTGTGTGTGTGTGTGGTGTGTGTGTGGTGTGTTGTGTGTGTGTGTGTGTGTGTGTGTGTGTGTGTGTGTGTGTACTCACCTAATTGTACTCACCTAACTGTGGTTGCAGGGTCGAGACTCAGCTCCTGGCCCCGCCTCTTCACTGATCGCTACTGGGTCCTCTTCTCTCTGCTTCCTGAGCTTTGTCATACCTCTTCTTAAAACTATGTATGGTTCCTGCCTCCACTACTTCACTTGCTAGGCTATTCCACTTGCTGACAACTCTATGACTGAAGAAATACTTCCTAACGTCCCTGTGACTCGTCTGAGTCTTCAGCTTCCAGTTGTGACCCCTTGTCCCTGTGTCCCCTCTCTGGAACATCCTATCTCTGTCCACCTTGTCTATTCCCCGCAGTATCTTGTATGTCGTTATCATGTCTCCCCTGACCCTTCTGTCCTCCAGTGTCATCAGTCCGATTTCCCTTAACCTTTCCTCGTACCACATTCCCTTGAGCTCTGGGACTAGCCTTGTTGCAAACCTTTGTACTTTCTCTAGCTTCTTGATGTGCTTGACCAGGTGTGGGTTCCAGACTGGTGCTGCATACTCCAGTATGGGCCTAACATACACAGTGTACAGTGTCTTGAACGATTCCTTATTAAGGTATCAGAACGCTATTCTCAGGTTTCCCAGGCGCCCGTATGCTGCAGCAGTTATTTGGTTGATGTGTGCCTCCGGTGATGTGCTCGGTGTTATGGTCACCCCAAGGTCTTTCTCCCTGAGTGAGGTCTGTAGTCTTTGTCCACCTAGCCTATACTCTGTCTGCGGTCTTCTTTGCCCCTCCCAATCTTCATGACTTTGCATTTGGCTGGATTGAATTCGAGAAGCCAGTTACTGGACCACATGTCCAGCCTGTCCAGGTCTCTTTGCAGTCCTGCCTCATCCTCGTCCGATTTAATTCTCTCATCAACTTCACGTCATCTGCGAACAGGGACACTTCAGAGTCTATTCCTTCCATCATGTCGTTCACATATATCAAAAATAGCACTGGTCCTAGAACTGACCCCTGTGGGACCCCACTCGTAACAGGCGCCCACTGTGATACCTCTTCACGTACATGACTCGTTGCATGCCTCCCTGTCAGGTATTCCCTTATCCATTGCAGTGCCCTCCCTTTTACATGCGCCTGATCCTCCAGCTTCTGCACTAATCTCTTGTGGGAGAACTGTGTCAAAGGCCTTCCTGCAGTTCTAGGAAAACGCAATCTACCCACCCCTCTCTCTCGTGTCTTACTTCTGTTACCTTGTCATAAAACTCCAGGAGGTTTGTGATACAGGATTTGCCTTCATGAACCCATGCTGGTTTTCATTTATAATCTTGTTCCTTTCCAGGTGTTCGACCACTCTCCTCCTGATAATCTTCTCCATGACTTTGCACACAATACATGTCAGAGACACAGGTCTGTAGTTTAGTGCCTCGTTTCTGCTTCCTTTCTTAAATATGGGGACTACATTAGCTGTCTTCCATTTCTCAGGTAGTTGCCCAGTTTCAAGGGATGTGTTGAAGATTGTGGTTAGAGGCACGCACAGCATCTCTGCTCCTTCTCTAAGGACCCATGGGGAGATGTTGTCCGGTCCCATCGCCTTTGAGGTGTCAAGGTCACTTAAGAGCTTCTTCACCTCCTCCTCAGTTGTTCGTATGTCATCCAACACTTGTTGGTATATTCCCTCTTGATGTTCCCTTCTGTGCTGTCTTCCCACAGCCCTTCCTGTCTCTACTGTAAAAACTTCTTAAATCTCCTGTTCAGCTCCTCACATACCTCCTGATCATTTCTTGTGAGTTCTTCACCTTCTGTCCTTAATCTCATCACCTGGTCTTTGACTGTTGTCTTCCTCCTGATGTGGCTATACAACAGTTTCAGGTCAGTCTTGATTCTCGATGCTATGTCATTTTCATACTGTCGCTGGGCCTCCCTTCTTACCTGTGCATACTCATACCTGGCTCTGCGACTGATCTCCCTATTTTTCGTGTGTTCTCTGCCTTCTGTACTTTTTCCATTCTCTATTGCACTTTGTTTTTGCCTCCTTACACCGTCGGGTAAACCAGGGGCTCGTGCTGGTCTTCCCGTTGTTACTGTTGCCCATGGGAATAAACTTTTCCACTGCCTCCTTGCATTTTGTTGTTACATATTCCATCATTTCATTTACTGGCTTTCCTGCCAGTTCTCTGTCCCACTGGACCTCCCGCAGGAAGTTCTTCAACCCTATGTAGTCCCCTCTTTTATAGTCAGGCTTTTCCCATTCAACTCCTGTTATTCTCTCCACTTGCAGCTCTACTATGTATTCAAAGCACAGAACCACGTGGTTGCTAGCTCCTAGGGGACTCTCATACTTGATGTCCTCAATGTCTGAGCTGCCCAGGGTGAACACAAGGTCCAATCTTGCTGGTTCATCCTCCCCTCTCACTCTGGTAGTGTCCTTAACATGTTGGTGCATGAGGTTTTCCAGCATCCTGGCTCTCCATGTTTCGGGACCCCCATGTGGCTCCAGGTTTTCCCAGTCGATCTCCCTGTGGTTGAAATCCCCCATAACCAGCAACTTTGCTCTGCTGGAATGAGCTCTTCTTGCCACCTCAGCAAGTGTGTCCACCATTGCTCTGTTGCTCTCTTCATATTCCTCTCTTGGCCTCCTGCAGTTCTGTGGTGGATTATACATCACTGCAATGACCACTTTGTGTTACCCAGACTGAAGTGTACCTGCTATGTAGTCTCTTTCTCCCGTCTCATCTATGCCTTCCATTTTCTCGAATTTCCATCTGTTTTTTACGAGCAGAGCAACCCCACCTCCCCCCCCTGCCCCTTCTATCTTTCCTCATGATCTAGTATCCTGGTGGGAAGATTGCATCTGTTATTGTCTCCGTGAGTTTTGTTTCTGTAACTGCTATGATGTCTGGGGACTTCTCATTGATTCTTTCTTGCCATTCCTCATGTTTATTCGTTAATCCATCTGTATTTGTGTACCAAACCTTCAACTTCTGTTCTAATACTGTAACTGTGGTGCGGGGGGTGGAAACAGAGGGATCAGTGTGTGATGGTTGGTTTGGATTGTTCAGTTGCCTTGGGGGTGTCGTGGCTGGAGTCCTTCTGCAGGTGTTTCTGGGGGGTGTGCTTGTCCTTCCATTTGATCCTGGGTTATTCTGCTCTCCTTTTTCATTTCCTCCCATTTCTCCTTACGTTTTTGAACTCTCTCTTTCATCGTCTTCCTTTCGTCCTGTGTTCTGTCTTGATCGAGGTACACACTCCGGAACTCCTGCTTGCCTCTCAACCGTGCTTTCTCCTGCAGGATCATGGTTCGGGTTGATTCTGCCTTGAAAATTATTTTGAGAGGCCGATTCCTTTTCTTTGTGAACCACCCAATTCTCCGAAAATTTGCCACCTGGGTCATGTCCCCCTCGCCTATCACCTTCATGATATCTTCAATCGCTTTTTTCTCCTCCTGCTTTCTTTCATCATAAGTTTCCCCTTTAGCTTCGTCTAGCCCATAGACAAACACGGATCTCTCCCTTTCCACCTCCCACTGTGACTCCCACTGCATCCTCTGATGTGTTTTAGTTTCTTCCCGTGGAGTGTTCCTTCCTTCACTCCCTTCCCTAGTTATGGCCCCTATGCTTCTTGGTTTGTCCTTCCTGCTCACCTGTTCCTGGCCCCCACAGGTATCTGGTAAGGTCCTTGCACATGTCCTAGTTCCTTCAATGTCTTCCAACCTCTCATTCTGTCCTAGTGTGCTCCCTGCCTTTGTTTTGGCCCCATGTGGTTTGACAGGACCTCTGCATACAGTTTAGTTTCCATGCTTCCTTCAGACCTGTTGTCTGTGTTTGATGTAGCCATTGCCGATGCTACTTCTGTAATATCTTTGTCTCTGTGCTGTTTCAGATGTCTCAGCTCCTCTTCTAATCTCTCTATCTTGATTTCTGCTGCTGTGGCCTGTTGCTTCCACCTTCTGCATTCTGCTGCTAACCTCTCTTCCATCTTCCTTTCCAGCTCATCTAGTCTCCTTCTCCAGTCTTCCTCCCTTTTTTTGAGCTCTACCTCCCATTCCTCCCTCCCAGATTCGTCCTTGGAGCCCCTTGTCCTCATCCTGGTTCTAGGTTTCCCCCGTTGCTCCACAGAAGGGGGGACGGGTGGTTAGGGGGAGGGGAATAGATGTGTGTGTGTGCGTGTGTGTGTGTGTGTGTGTGTGTGTGTGTGTGTGTGTGTGTGTGTGTGTGTGTGTGTGTGTGTGTGTGTGTGTGTGTGTGTGTGTGTGTGTGTGTGTGTGTGTGTGTGTGCAAGAAAAGTTCTGTACATGATCAAATCAAGCAAATCATTAGTGTGAAGGATGCAACCTTTTATATATATTCTTTTCTTTCAACGTACCAGCCATATCCTACCAAGGTAGGGTGGCCCAAAAAGAAAAACTAAAGTTTTTCTTTTTAAATTTAGTAATCTGTACAGGAGAAGGGGTTACTAGCCCCTTCCTCCCGGCATTTTAGTCGCCTCTTACAACACGTATGGCTTACGGAGGAAGAATTCTGCTCCACTTCCCCATGGAGTTTTATTTTTTTTTTTTTTCCAACAAGTCGGCCGTCTCCCACCAAGGCAGGGTGACCCAAAAAAGAAAGAAAATCCCCAAAAAGAAAATGCTTTCATCATCATTCAACATTTTCACCACACTCACACATAATCACTGTTTTTGCAGAGGTGCTCAGAATACAAGACCTCAAATCCACAATCCGAATGCAAAAACTGTGATACACGTTGAATTTTTTTAAATGTCAATATACAAAAAATTGTACTTGCCTGAAGTTGCAGGGTTTGTTCATTTCCAAAATCTTCAGTAACACACACAAATGTAGACTACTTTAGTACCAGATCGTGAAATTAGTGTAATTATGGGAGCAGATTACTGCCATTGAAAAAAAAAAAAGACAAAATGAGTACATTCTTCACTCAGTAGGAGGACAAGCTGTTTAAGATACAGTCCTGTATATCACAGTAAAGATATTGAAAGGCAGTGCTTATTTCTCTTACCAGACGATTTTTATGAACAATTTCAAAGTATATGGGTGTTGAGTTATCTTAATAAAGTTCAACCTGATTTAAGCAATTTTTCAAGCAAGAAGTCCTTGTAACCCATGAATAATTTGGCAAGAGTTTAACAATGGACATAGTCAATGTACCATTACTGAGGTAGACAAACATTCCTGTATAACCATGTGAAGAAGAAATAAATATTTAAAATTTATCAGTAAGTATACAGGTATGAATGGTATCACTCCCCCATAATTTAGAATTCACTTAGTGTAAATAGATTAACGTAACCTTCTGCAGCAATAATTTATGCCTAACGCTTCATACCTTCTACACTCAACTGATAAGCTCTCTCTCGAGTTAAATTATACGACTTTCTGCCAACTCAAAATGCCCTTATAAATAATTTTTTCTATTTATTTAAAAGATTCACTAAAATTACATAAAAAAAGGTCAACTAACATTCGGATAGCAGGTAACAGAGCAGCTCGCCTGCTCCACAGAGTCGAACATCTCTGCTAATGCAAGCTTGCAGCCAATGAATTCTGCATCAATTAAGGTTGCAGGTGGGCCAGCAACCCTCTCCTGTAAAAGATTACACTGCACTATAAAAGGAAACTTCAAAATGCAGAGCTTGGAATCATCGAAGAGAACGCCTTAACTGTAACTGCCATAAACTGCAGAAGATTAAATATAATTTTGAGTTTTAATGTGTATTAGCTTGTATTTATCAAAACTTCTCAGTTCCAAGTATAGAATGTTTTGAGGCATTAAAGAATATATTTACCTACCATAATGGTATGGATACCCCCCTCATTAACTGGGCTAAATGTCAGGGTGATAATATCCATGGCTACTTTATGTGGCATTTCGTTTCAGCAGTTACAATAGCCATGAGCACAAAGTACTTTTAACAATGACCATTACCCACTAATGTAGGGTGGTCCAAAGAACATATTAACCCCTCACCCAGTCTCTAGCTGTCATTTAAAAAGTGCACGAACACCTTGAAATGTAAGCTCATATATCAACAAATATTTAAATGAGCAAAATTCTTTCTTTCTTTAAATAAACTGGCCATATCCCACCACAGCAGGGTGGCCCAAAAAGAAAAACAAAAGTTTCTCTTTTTAACTCTAGTAAGGTATACAGGAGAAGGGGTTACTAGCCCCTTGCTCTTGGAATTTTAGTCACCTTTTACGACACGCATGGCTTACGGAGGAAGAATTCTGCTCCACTTCCCCATGGAGAATGAGCAAAATTCATGCCCTTAAATATAAAATTTTCCTATTTTCAAATAATTTTCTGAATTCTAAGGCACACTTCTTGTATGCAGAAGCTCCTAATACATTTTGGCAATGAAATGTCAATACATTAAGGTAGTGATAAGTGAATTACCATGAATACTCTTCAGCTCATGACTGTCTTGGTGATTACAGAATGCACTGTAGTTGTGCCATACAACATGTTGGTATATATACTAAAACCAAAAGCAATTAGGAAGAAATAAACAAGCACAGGATTTTCATCAAACTATTGCAAGAAAAGCCTCATCATTACAGTTAAAACTCATATCAAGGAGGACACTCAAAAGGCATAAGCTTGAGCCTATGATGAAATAACTATGTTAAGAAGTCCGAAGAACTACCAAAGTGTAAATAATAATTAGTACAAAATAAAAAAAATAAATGCAAAAAGAGAAAGCTTTTGTTTCTTCTTTTTCAGGTTGCTCTGCCTCTGTGGAAGATGACTAGCGTGTTAAAAAAAAAAAAAAGTGTCTGAAAAAATTAAATTTGGAGGAGCTTATAGTCCTTGATCATTTACATTACTGTATACAGAATTAGTAAGACCTAAAACTTTCAGTATTTGGTGCAAAGGAGTAAACCCACCTCCCGGATTACATTAAAACAAAATGAAGATTTGTGAGGCAGCATATTATATACAGGAAAAAGCCAGAAATGCTAGAAATAATGGCATTACCCAAAAAAAAAAAGAAGGTGTCTTAAAAAGAGGAATGCCCAGTTGCTCTGATTACTACATAGTAATGACTAATTACTACTACATAGTAATTACTTGATTACTACATAGTAATTACTGAGAAAACATAATACAACAAGCTTACCATTTTATCAAATCAATGTAGTCTTAATTCCTGCTAAATTTTATCTTCTAGTTCATCATTTTCAAAACGTCAAGACTTCAAAACTTTAAGACTAGGGCCACATTTTATTTTTGAATTTCAGTGATCTTTGGTGTGCAGCAATGGTATGCAAAGGATATTATTACCCACCAGTTTACATGTCACAAATGTTTACTCTGGCAAGAGCAGACGATTTTTTTTTTTTAACAAGTCAGCCGTCTCCCACCGAGGCAGGGTGACCCAAAAAGAAAGAAAAAATTCCCAAAAAGAAAATACTTTCATCATCATTCAACACTTTCACCTCACTCACACATAATCACTGTTTTTGCAGAGGTGCTCAGAATACAACAGTTTAGAAGCATATAAGTATAAAGATACACAACATATCCCTCCAAACTGCCAAATCCACTTAACAAGTTGTTGTATTCTATACAAACAGTTACAAGTTAAAACTTACGAACAACTGCTCATCAAGGTTTTCCTTGAAAGCCTTTCATCCTTGAAATCATTTTTCTTCAATACACATTTTGTAAGATCATTTTTTAGAAGCATTTTCCATTTCTAATGGAAGAGAAAGATGAATCAGGTCTTGCTGCTTGAAGCCCCATACTACTCTGCCATTTGCAGAGATGTTAGTTTCCTCCCAGATTCATTCCCTTAAGAAAGGAGGAATCATGAAGTGCTTTTGGAAAAAACAGTGCTAGTGGCACCTCTCACTGGATGGACCAAGGTCAAAAGATAAGTTTTAAGAAAAAAACCCAACAGCCAACCCCATCCCCCACAAAAAAAAAAAAATTATATTTTATATATAATATATATATATATATTTTTTTTTTTTTTCAACAAGTCGGCCGTCTCCCACCGAGGCAGGGTGACCCAAAAAAGAAAGAAAATCCCCAAAAAGAAAATACTTTCATCATCATTCAACACTTTCACCACACTCACACATTATCACTGTTTTTGCAGAGGTGCTCAGAATACAACAGTTAGAAGCATACACATATAAAGATACACAACATATCCCTCCAAACTGCCAATATCCCAAACCCCTCCTTTAAAGTGCAGGCATTGTACTTCCCATTTCCATAATTTTTTTTATCACACTAGAATAGGGAAACACTCCAAAGGGATCTGGACAAATTGCAAAAGTGGTCAGACAAGCAGTTGCTTGAATTCAACACTAGTAAATGCAAGGTCATGAAGACTAGGGAAAAAGCATAAATAAAATTTTTTTACTAATTTGAGCCCAATTTCATTCTATTTCCAGAATCAACTAAATTCATCTCTATTTCAGAAGTATATCTTGCATTCTATCAAATAACAGCCAATCATAAAAACTATCCTAGAAAATGCCTCCAGTTCTGCTTTTCCCATCATGCACTGCATGGGGCAGGATGTTTTTTCATACTGTGCACAACCAGCACACAGACCCATTCTCTCATATCTAGGCCAATATTTACCACTCACAGCTAATCTGAGAGAGCTGAGCTCAAAATGTAGATCTACCTAAAGGAACCTCACATTAACAACATATTAAGCAGTCAACTTAGGTAGTGGGTAAAGGCCTAAATCAGAATTTAGCTGAAACAGTTAAGAGCTTCTTATATGCCAGATCAATTATTATACTGCAATTTAAGGTACACAACTGAAATTTAATGCTCATATCCAACAATGTCAAAAGTCTGTAAGAATACACTAAAATTCACTGTTATGTTTCCCAAGCTGCAATCCTAACACTGTACTTCTCCCTCATATACCTATACTGAACATATGAGATTTATACTTGGAGATCCACTTTGGCAGTCCACCTAACCAAATAGCTCAACACAACATAGCTCTCCAAACTATCACAAAGTAATTATAGTAATACATTATTCTTCCTACTCAAGTCTGTAAACCTTCTTAATATAAATGCCATTCATATATGGTTACCTTGCTCACACTCCAACTGCACTTGTAACCATGAAAAATCACTTTTCTACACTCACTACCTAACACACTCCCACAAGCCTGCTGGATACTCAAGCCACTAGCACTCAAAGCCATCATCCCCCCCCTCCAGCCCTTCCTGGAACAACACTTACCCTTCCTTCCACCCCACATTTACACACCCTATCATCCAACTCTGCTTCAGTCTCTCTAAATACCTAAATCCCCTTAACTCAGAATTAAACCCTTGGTAACAGTACACCCTCTTGTAATTTCTATGCTCCTCACATTCACACCAAATGTTGCTCTCAAAAATAAGATCTCTAGGGCCTCTATTTCCTCACTGCACCCATATAAAAATGTTTGTACTACTATACTCCTAGTACATTCCCAACAGTTAAACTTACTTCTTTCCACAGATGCCTCAACACATCTACCTTCCTCCCTCCCCTATCCCTCTCTGGCCTATTCTACTATTCACTTCATCTTTCATAAACCTATCTGCCAAAATGTCCACCCTGCATTCGCTTCCTCCATACTCCCACCCTTCAATCTAATACAGTATCCCACTGTTAGCTGAACATCGATGTTCACTACACTTGTATGAAAAAACTGTCAACTTACCTGAGATGGAATGTACACGATTGTATGACATCTTCCACATGCAACTTGACTAACTTTTGAGCCACAGAGATCAAGCACAGTGCGAGGAACACTCCCATCATCATTTGTACCATGACCAAGTTGACCATACCGGCCATATCCAAATGTCCAAAGCTGAAAATTAAATAACTTTCGAGTTTTCCAAATTGTGACAACACAATATGAAGTGAACTGAATATGCATCTGATTTCCCCGTGAAGGCAAAGAAGTTAAATATAGTTTGTGAGTGCCATTACAAATACTGGGTGATTTAAGTCAGATAATGAACCTGAACACTTTACATTTCCTCTTTTTTGGATCGCTGTGACTTGGTGGGAGACAGCCATTGTGTTAAAAAAAAAAAATCCTGAATGGCACAGACAACACAGGATTGGATATGGATAAACATATGACCACCAATGTTTGCTGAGAGGGATTTTCAGGGGATTAGGAATTATAAAACAATATTATATCTTCAATATTATGTCTTCTTTTTGGGTCACCCTGCCTCGGTGGGAGACGGCCGACTTGTTAAAAAAAAAAAAAAATTATATCTTCAGAAGTGGATAAAATAACTGACTTATAAGCATTCTCACAAAGGTAACCTCATTCATCACCACAGCTGGAAATATTTTAAACTGAATTTTCTTTTATATCTACAGAATTCTGGAACATTTAAGTCAGTGGGAAATAAGTAGTGATTAATTTCATGTGTAACTGTATCTAAATCTTACTTATTAATACATTAACCACTTCCCACTAAAGCAGGGAGACTTGTCAGCAGATAGTTAAACGAGAGATGAGGTGAATCATAGAAATGACTAAGGAAATAAGGTAGGAGAATTATGAAAGCATTTGTGGAGACAAAGAACTTTATCCATGGAGGCAAAAAAAATTAAATGTACCAGAGTATATGGTACTAACACTGTTGTATGGGTGTGTAGCATGGGTTTTGAGAGCTGTAGTGAGGAGACGGATGGAGGCAGTAGAGACATCGTGTTTGAGGGAAATATGTAGTGTGCGTACTATGCAGAGAATTCAAAGTTTAGAGATTAGAAGGTGTGGAGTTACTGAAGTCATTCTTCAGAGGGCTGAGGAGAGACTGTTGAGGTGGTTTGAACATTTAGAGAGGATGGAGAAAAATAAGATGATTAGGAAGGCACATAAACCTGGAGTGGAGCAAGGAAGAGAGGGAGGGGTAGAGGTCGTTCTAGGAAACGTTGGAGGGGAAGAGTAAAGGAGGTTTTGAGTACTAAGGGCTCAAACATCCAATAGGCTTGTGTGTGTGTGGGCATGTTAGACAGGAGCAAGTGGAGTCAAGCAGTTTTTATGATTTAATGTGCTGTTGGAATGTGAGCAAGGTAACATTTATAAAGAGATTAATAGAAACTGATAAGATCGAGTCCTGGTAGTACAGTGCCTACAGTCTGGAGGGGTGGGAATGCTGCAGTTTTGGAGGGACATCTGAACTGAAATGTCAGCATGTTTTTGGCAAAACAGTGATTGAGTAAATGACAATGATATGGTTTTCTTCTTGCTTAGGTCACCCTATCTCTGTGGGAGGGGGGGAGGGAGACTGCTGGTGCTTAAAAAAAATTAGCTGTCTTTTGAAAGGAGCAAACATCAGAATTGTGAATATCCAATGAAATGCATCCCCTAACCTCCTTAAATACCCCTTGCTCTTTCGCAATTTTGCTTCCTATTTCTTTTTTTTTTTTTTTTTAACAAGTCGGCCATCTCCCACTGAGGCAGGGTGACCCAAAAAGAAAGAAAATCTCCAAAAAGAAAATACTTTCATCATCATTCAGCTCTTTCACCTCACTCACACATAATCACTGTTTTTGCAGAGGTACTCAGAACACAACAGCTTAGAAGCATATACGTATAAAGATACACAACATATCCCTCCAAACTGTCAATATCCCGAACCCCTCCTTTAGAGTGCAGGCATTGTACTTCCCATTTCCAGGACTCAAGTCCGGCTATATAAAAATAACCGATTTCCCTGAATCCCTTCACTAAATATTACCCTGCTCACACTCCAACAGATCGCCAGGTCCCAAATACCATTCATCTACATTTACTCCTATCGAACACGCTCACGCATGCCTGCTGGAAGTCCAAACCCTCGCCCACAAAACCTCCCTTCCCCCTTTCCCTTTCCCAACCCTTTTTCGAGGTTGACCCTACCCCGCCTTCCTTCCCCTACAGATTTAAATGCTCTCCATGTCATTCTACTTTGATCCATTCTCTCTAAATGACCAAACCACCTCAAAAACCCCCTCTTCAGTCCTCTGATTAATACTTTTATTAACTCCACACCTTCTCCTAATTCCCACACTCCTAATTTTCTGCATAATATTTACACCACACAGATTTAGATTTGCCACCGAAGTGGCTAGTTTATTGTGCACCCCCATATCCATCCTGTGAACGGTAGCGCAAGAGCACATGGATACACAAAAGGCCCAGGAACTAGGCCCCAAGGGGTTAACATGAATACATATGGATTTATATTTACATATCTATAGTTCACTTATCTGTTACAAGCAAATTTAGGAAATTTGCTTAGTATATCTGGTATTTTATTTTCATTAATAAGATATCTTGACATGTCACATAGGTTATTATACTGTCTATCTCTGTACACCACACATTCCACTGCCTCCAACTGCCTCCTCACTGCTGCATTCACAACCCAAGCTTCACACCCATATAAAAGTGTTGGTACTACTATACTTTCACACATTCCCTTCTTTGCCTCCATAGATAACGTTTTTTTGTCTCCACATATACCTCAATGCACCACTCACCTTTTTTCCCTCATCAATTCTATGATTAACCTCATCCTTCATAAATCCATCCGCCAACATGTCAACTCCCAAGTATCTGAAAACATTCACTTTTTCCATACTCCTCCTACCCAATTTGATATCCAATTTTTCTTTATCTAAATCATTTGATACCCTCATCACCTTCCTCTTTTCTATGCTCACTTTCAACTTTCTACCTTTACACACACTCCCAAACTCATCCACTAACCTTTGCAATTTTTCTTTAGAATCTCCCATAAGCACAGTATCATCAGCAAAAAGCAACCATGTCAATTCCCATTTTGTATTTGATTCCCCATAATTTAATCCCACCCCTCTCCTGAACACCCTAGCATTTACTTCTTTTACAACTCCATCTATAAATATATTAAACAACCATGGTGACATTACTCATCCCTGTCTAAGACCTACTTTTACCGGGAAGTAGTCTCCCTCTCTTCTACACACCCTAACCTGAGCCTCACTATCCTCATAAAAACTCTTTACAGCATTTAGTAACTTACCACCTATTCCATATACTAGCAACATCTGCCACATTGTTCCCCTATCCACTCTATCATATGCCTTTTCTAAATCCATAAATACAATAAAAACTTCCCTACCTTTATCTAAATACTGTTCACATATATGCTTCAATGTAAACACTTGATCTACACATCCCCTACCCACTCTAAAACCTCCTTGCTCATCTGCAATCCTACATTCTGTCTTACCTCTCTTTCAATTATAACCCTACCATACACTTTTCCTGGTATACTCAGTAAACTTATTCCTCTATAATTTTTACAATTTCTTTTGTCCCCCTTCTCCAAGATACGATACTACGTGCCGCAAACTGCCCTTCTCACACTATACCATTCACTAGTACATGTATATCCATACCTCACCTATGCTATCTGTGCTTGGGGTTCAACTGCAGCAACACACCTAAAGCCAATAATAACCTAACAAAAAGCCACAGTAAGAATAATCACTAAATCCCATCCCTGGCAACACACCCCCCCACTTTTCATAGATCTAAACTTACTCCCTGTTCAGAACATGCACACTTCCTACTGTGCAATCTATATCTACAGGACCTTAAATTCCAATATTAACCTAAAACGCTTTCTTGATAGTTGTGACAGGATCCACAGGCATAACACCAGACACAAACATCTCTATGACATTCCCAGTGTTCGACTAAACCTTTACAAAAATTCAATGTATTTCAAAGGACCTACAATCTGGAACACCCTACCTGAAAACTCTAGAACTGCAGACACATTCATCACTTTCAAAACTACAGTTAGAAAACATCTTATCTCCCTGATCCACCCCAACAACTAACTACTTGATAACCACCTGGTGGTTCGCAATTACACTCACTCACCCACTGACTATAAACCCAGAAATACTAATCTTAATCTTAAAATAATAAATCCTAACTAGTCATAAGTTTGCCTATGATACTCCAATATAGACACCTTGTATTGTGCCAAAACAAAAGCATTCACATTGCTAAACTCACAAATTATGATGTAGTCACTCAGCCTTAATACCATAATCTGTAAGGATTTAATGTTAAGAATTAATCTAAGTTTGCTCGAAATGCCTAGCCATGCTAGGTGTCCTAGTGGCCCCCTCTGTAATTAGTATTTTATAACATGTAAACTACACAATACCCAAAACCTGTAAACCCCACATTGTAACCCTTATAGAGAATAAACTTGAAATTGAATTGAATTGAATAGAATTGAATTGAATTTATATAAAGGGACTATACATGCTCTCCGCCAATCTCTAGGTACGTTCCCCTCTTTCACACATTTATTAAACAAAAATACCAACCACTCCAACACTACATCCCCCCCCCTGCATTTGTCATGATCTCGTCAGCTCCAGCTGCTTTACCCCCTTTCATCCTACGTAATGCCTCACACACCTCCCCCACACTCACATCCTGTTCCTCTTCACTCCTAAAAGATGGTATACCTCCCTGTCCAGTGCATGAAATTACCACCTCCCTTTCTTCATCGACATTTAAAAGTTCCTCAAAATATTCTCACCATCTACCCAAAACCTCCATCTCCCCATCTACTAACTCCTCTACTCTGTTTTTAACTGACAAATCCATTTGTTCCCTAGACTTTCTGTTTAAATCAATCCAAAATTTTTTATTATTTTCATTAAAATTTCTTGACAGTGCCTCTCCCACTCTATCATCTGCTCTCCTTTTGCACTCTCTCATCACTCTCTTCACCTTTCTTTTACTCTCCCTATACTCTACTCTTCTTATAACACTTCTGCTTTGTAAAAACCTCTCATAAGCTAACTTCTTCTCTTTTATCACAACCTTTACTTCATCATTCCACCAATCACTCCTCTTTCCTCCTGCACCCACCCTCTTATAACCACAAATTTCTCCCCCACATTCTAATACTGTATTTTAAAACTATTCCATCCCTCTTCAACCTCCCCACTGCTCATACTTGCACCAGTCCACCTTTCTGCCAATAGTTGCTTATATCTCACCTGAACTTCCTCCTCCCTTAGTTTATACACTCTCACCTCCCTCTTACTTGTTGCCATTTTCCTCTTTTCCCATCTACCTCTTACTCTAACTGTAGCTACAACTAAATAATGATCCAATATGTCAGTTGCCCCTCTATAAACGTGTACATCCTGGAGCCTACCCATCAATCTTTTATCCACCAATACATAATCTAACAAACTACTTTCATTATGTGCTATATCATACCTTGTATATTTATTTATCCTCTTCTTCATAAAATATGTATTACTTATTATTAAACCTCTTTCTATACATAGCTCAATTAAAGGCTCCCCATTTTCATTTACCCCTGGCACCCCAAATTTACCTACTACTCCCTCCATAACATTTTTGTCCACTTTAGCATTGAAATCCCCAACCACAAGTACATACTCTCATACTTGGTTCAAAACTCCCCACACATTCACTCAACATTTCCCAAAATCTCTCTCTCTCCTCTACACTTCTCTCTTCTCCAGGTGCATATATACTTACTATAACCCACTTTTCACATCCAACCTTTATTTTACTCTACATAATCCTTGAATTAATACATTCATACTCCCTCTTTTCCTGTCATAACTTATCCTTCAACATTATTGCTACTCCTCCTTTAGCTCTAACTCTATTTGAAACCCCTGACCTAATCCCATTTACTCCTCTCCACTGAAACTCTCCTACCCCGTTCATCTTTGTTTCACTTAAAGCCAGGACATCCAGCTTCTTCTCATTCATAACATCCACAATCATCTATTTCTTATCATTTGCACAACATCCACGCACATTCAGACTTCCCACTTTGACAATTTTCTTCTTATTCTTTTTAGTAATTATTACAGGAAAAGGGGTTACTAGCCATTGTTCCCGGCATTTTAGTTGACTTTTACAACACGCATAGCTTACGGAGGAAAGATTCTTATTCCACTTCTATTTCTTTCTATTTATTAATATCTCCATGTCATACAGAAGATACAAAATGCATACACTTATAAACTCCTAGGAGGGAAGGAAGAGGTGAGGCAAGTAAAACTATTGGAATGTGACAAATCTTGCATCAGCAGAGAAGAGGTATACTGGCCAGTGTTGTATGAACTGCTCTCTGATTTATGGACATCATGTCTGCCCCAATCCTGTACATCCCTATTGCCATGACTGTTCCTAAATCTATTATGGTTCTCTTCAATAATGTTCTATGTTCCATTTATGTGGGTTCTCCAAGAGTACTGGTGTTCCTGAATTCTGGTGTTTAGATTAGTACTGCTTTGCCAACCTCTACATGGAATCCCTAGAAGCACAAAGAGTCACCATCATCCCTTCAACCATCACCTATGACATGTGTTATAGGTGATGTCATTGTAACACAAAAAGATTATATATAAAATATGCAATAACTTTAAAATACTTGAAACTTTGGAAAGTTTCCAGACAATTGAGAGATGTGGAGCTCATGAAGGATGTAAACAGAGTGAATGGGTGACATGCAGACACCATACTAATGAATCAGGAGCCATATAAACAAATTTTTGGTTTTAATTTGAAATGTCAGTATTAGCAAATCGCTTTAAAGTGGGGCCCTCCTGTACACTTCTCTCATTACAACAAGCAAGTTAAATAAGAAGCTTTGATTGGGTCCTTTCTGAAAGATATAAGATCTGAAGCCCCAAATACTTAGAAGGAAACTGCAGCATCATTAGCAAGATCTTTGCCATGCTACACTGTAAGTCACATTTCATCAAAAATTTAACAGAAAGGGCTCCAAAAATATTTTAAGCACCCGAAGAGGATAACTGACAACAGTTGGCTCATTTTTTCCCCCACAGGTAATCACCACAGATATCACACAAGTGAAATGAATATCTCCATTATCAGCTTCAAAACTATTATGCTACCAGAGTTGGCCAACAGCTAGGATGCCATTACAACCAGAGTATGCACCATTCCCTGTGGTGGTTGTGATAATACATCAGTACACAGAACACTACTGAAGTAAAGAACCAATGTGCATTTAGCTAACTTAGCCAGACTGATGGCTCACATACTACAGGAAGTCTTGGCAACAATGTTTTACAGAATTGGGACAAGTGTGCCAGCCAGAAATTAGAGGACTGTTCAATAACATAGTCCAGCATACTTCTCTCAGATTTGTCACACTCATAAAAGAGTTAAGGCATCAGTGAGACATTATGCATATATATATTAGTTAGTACTCACCTTACCATGAGAATCAAGAACTGCAGTGTGGCCTTCCCCAAGTGCAACATAGAGCAATGGCTCAGAATAAGACTCCAAATTGGGAACCAGTGCAGGTGTTTCACTGCAAACCAATGCTTAATAAACTGTCTATATTAGACAAACATTTAATAACTGATATACACTAAATTATGGAGGCCTTTTAATGCACTTACTAATAAACATCTCTAATACAACTATGATTATGTTAATGGGTAGAACATTCCAAAAGACCTTCCTTCAGAAGTAAGCGAACTGTAGATAGGAAGCATAATACAGTAGACCCCCCATATCCACAGGGGATATGTTCCAAGACCTACTGTGGATACCTGAAACTGTGGATAGCAGAAAACCTTATATACAAGTCATTTTCTGCTTACATACATACTTATGACAAAGTTTAATTGATAAATTATGCAAAACAAGTCTGGAATTAGCAGTTTTTCACTGATGGAAAGCATTTCACAGCTTCTCTTAGGCTTTGAAGAACTGCCAGCATCACTACTAATGCACTTTGGGGCCATTATTAAGCAAATTAAGGTTATTTCAGGCCATGGTAAACTGTGGATAACTGAAACTGCAGATACTGAATCCTCGGATACAGGGGTTCTACTGTATCCAAGCAGTTGCAAGTGATCATTTGTGCAACTTATAGCATAATCTTTTTGGTTATTCAGAGTTCTTAATACTAAAGTTTGTAACTTCTAAGAGAGTTGTATCAGAAGGGATAGACATAATGCAAGATACAAATCTCTTTGAAGTCCCTAGCATTTAACTAAAGTAGAAAATGTGCAAAAAGCCAAAGTTCTCAATATACCATTGGCTTCAAACAATACTGTTATGTTAACTAAGTGATTAATGATAATTAGAAATCAAGCATATCTAATACAACTTGTATATCAAGCTCCTGTTCAGTATTCATACTCATGAACACCGTATCTCCATAAATTTTCAACACAAAAATGTTCTTACTAACCCTACATTTTAGTAATGCAATTTTAAGAATCAGATTTGCTTAGTAATATGATCCCTGTACTTAATTTTTTATTAAAATAATTATGTTGCACTGAGCATTTGATCAACACAACTTTAACTATTCTATCATAATTTTAAGACAAGTATAATAAGTCTGCTTGAAATGCATTGCTTTTACATGTCTGACAACCTACCAATCTGTTATACAATAGTATTTTAGAAAAAAAAAAAAACTTAAATTGCTGCAACTGACAATTTTCACCAATTTTATCTATTTCCTATAATCATTACAAATTTACTACTACTGTGACTAATATAATATCACATTACAAAAAAAATCTTATACTGCATAATTATAACAAAGCAAAAAAAAAAAAAAAAGGAGTGTCTGACTCAAAGTTGGGCACTTAGCATCAAATCTCATCACCACAATATGAAGACCCAGTATCAGGTAAAAGGAAGGAGAGACCTGTAGCTAGAGTTCAAAACTTGCAACCCAACAAATCAAGATTACTGTTCAAAAAGTATTTTAATAAGCAGAAATGATCATATCCTCAGAAAGTCATTCTTAAGAAAGTCAGTAGGATAACCAAGTGATGTACTGTACAAAGTTCATGAAAGTTCAGAGGCAAAAATAAATCGGTGAAAAATAAAAGATGGGTTTGATTCAAAAAATTGCAATTACCCTACAACTTGACAGGAAAAACTTAATTAAGCAATGTTAGTTATATCTTACCTTAAATTTGGATCTTTCTTAGGAGTATAACCTAATTGGCCATACTTGTTTGAGCCCCATGTAAGCAAGAAGCCACCATGAGTGAGAGCAGCAGAGTGATGTCCTCCAGCAGTGATAAGAACTAAGGGACTTCCAACAAGAGATTTAACAAGAGCTGGCTCTTTTTGAGGTCCCTCTTTATGACCCAGGCCAAGCTGGCCCATATTATTCTGGCCCCAAGAATAGAGGTCTCCATCTGAAATTTACAATACAAAAGTGTTGATAATGACTGGCAATGTTAATGTCACAAGCACACAAGATTAAGTAAAGAACTAAGTATAAAGTAACAAGAATAAAAGTTCTCTAAGTAAGGATGGAAGAAAGCAATACATAGGTCTTTAGTCACACTGTTATGTAAGGTAAACATTGCAGCTGTTAAACTGTATCATGTTCAAGTAATTACAAGGAAAAATGGGAACTTTATATTTGGCAAATACTTAAAAGGTTATGATCTAACCAGGTTTTTAATATACAATTACAGTACTTACATCATGCAACACTAATACCATAAGGACTAAGCCCTGTCTCATTAACTGCAAGTGTATAACCATGCCCAATAAATATGCAGTAACAGACTGTATACAAATATGAAAGAAAGATCAGTAGAGTCAACCCTTGTGACATTTTCACATTACAGCTGCAACCATCTTTGTACTGTTGCCAATAACCTCCCTTCCCCCCACACACACACAAAAAAAAAATACAATGCCTCGTAGTGCATAATGAACTCTATGGTTTCAGCTTTTGAAAATGTTAATAATAAAAAAAAAGTTAAAAATACAAGAAATGCATTATTCACTGCAAAAGTAAAAGGGATAAAATACGCAGGAGTTCTCATGAGTAGCATTTTGTGGCCCCTCAATGCATTTGTTTTGAGTGATGGAATTGCAGCTGCTGAACCTTGATTACCTGCAGTTGAACATGTGGAGTTAACTAGAAATTACCAAGTTCATCCTCAAACCCTCCCAAAATAGTTTCCAGTGATTAAATGGAAATTCACAAACAATATACTAGTACATTATCATCGTGCTCCTCTCATAAACACTTTACTAAATTTTTTAATATAAATTTCATTGTTGTTACTCAATCCTCCAACTGAAGGTAAATGTTTGAACAACAATTTAGTCTCTCCTGGGCTATTATCAACTCACAGCTAAGAAAGTAAGCTAGAAGTAAGATAAACAAACAAGTTGAGAGACAGTTGAGGTCACATAAAGCAAGACGTCAAGGTCTATTCAAGTCACAGGTGTTCAAGATGAGATTATTTGTCAATTTTCATCACCTTACTAAAATTAGGTAGTAGGTTGGTAGACAGCAATCACCCAGGGAGGTACTACCGTCCTCCCAAGTGAGTGTAAAATGAAAGCCTGTAATTGTTTTACACGATGGTAGGATTGCTGGTGTCTTTTGTCTGTCTCATAAATATGCAAGATTACAGGTACGTCTTGCTACTTCTACTTACACTTAGGTCACACTACACATACATGTACACGTTTATTTATACACACTCATCTGAGTTTTCTTTGATTTTATCTTAATAGTTCTTGGTCTTATTACTTTTCCTTTTATATCCATGGGGAAGTGGAATAAGAATCTTTCCTCCGTAAGCCATGCGTGTTGTAAAAGTCAACTAAAATGCCGGGAACAATGGGCTAGTAACCCCTTTTCCTGTAAAGATTACTAAAAAGAATAAGAAGAAGAAAATTGTCAAAGTGGGAAGTCTGAATGTGCGTGGATGTTGCGCAAATGATAAGAAAGAGATGATTGTGGATGTTATGAATGAGAAGAAACTGGATGTCCTGGCTTTAAGTAAAACAAAAGCTGAAGGGGGTGGGAGAGTTTCAATGGAGAGGAATAAATGGGATTAGGTCAGGGGTTTCAAATAGAGTTAGAGCTAAAGAAGGAGTAGCAATAATGTTGAAGGATAAGCTATGGCAAGAAAAGAGGGACTACAAATGCATAAATTCAAGGATTATGTGGAGTAAAATAAAGATTGGATGTGAAAAGTGGGTTATAGTAAGCGTGTATGCACCTGGAGAAGAGAGAAGTGTAGAGGAGAGAGAGAGAGATTCTGGGAAATGTTGAGTGAATGCGTGGGGAGTTTTGAATCAAGTGTGAGAGTAATGGTGGTTGGGGATTTCAATGCTAAAGTAGGTAAAAATGTTATGGAGGGAGTAGTAGGTAAATTTGGGGTGCCAGGGGTAAATGAAAATGGGGAGCCTTTAATTGAGCTATGTGTAGAAAGAAATTTGGTAATAAGTAATACATATTTTGAAAAAGAGGATAAATAAATATACAAGGTATGATGTAGCACGTAATGAAAGTAGTTTGTTAGATTATGTATTGGTGGATAAAAGGTTGATGGGTAGGCTCCAGGATGTACATGTTCATAGAGTGGCAACTGATATATCGGATCATTATTTAGTTGTAGCTACAGTTAGAGTAAGAGGTAGATGGGAAAAGAGGAAGGTGGCAACAACAAGTAAGAGGGAGGTGAAAGTGTATAAACTAAGGGAGGAGGAAGTTCGGGTGAGATATAAGCGACTATTGGCAGAAAGGTGGGCTAGTGCAAAGATGAGTAGTGGGGGGGTTGAAGAGGGTTGGAATAGTTTTATAAATGCAGTATTAGAATGTGGGGCAGAAGTTTGTGGTTATAGGAGGGTGGGGGCAGGAGGAAAGAGGAGTGATTGGTGGAATGATGAAGTGCAAAAGGAGAGCAGATGAAAGAGTGGGAGAGGCACTGTCAAGAAATTTTAATGAAAATAAGAAAAAATTTTCCTAGGTAGTAGGTTGGTAGACAGCAACCGCCCAGGGAGGTACTACCGTCCTGCCAAGTGAGTGTAAAACGAAAGCCTGTAAATGTTTTACATGATGGTAGGATTGCTGGTGTCCTTTTTTCTGTCTCATGAACATGCAAAATTTCAGGTGTGTTTTGCTACTTCTACTTACATTCAGGTCACACTACACATACATGTACAAGCGTATATATACATACCCCTCTGGGTTTTCTTCTATTTTCTTTCTAGTTCTTGTTCTTGTTTATTTCCTCTTATCTCCATGGGGAAGTGGAACAGAATTCTTCCTCCGTAGGCCATGCGTGTTGTAAGAGGCGACTAAAATGCCGGGAGCAAGGGGCTAGTAACCCTTTCTCCTGTATATATTACTAAATTTGAAAGGAGAAACTTTGGTTTTTTCTTTTGGGCCATCCCGCCTCGGTGGGATATGGCCGGTGTGTTGAAAGAAAGAAAGAAAGAAAAAATTTTGGAGTGAGTTAAACAAGTTAAGAAAGCCTAGGGAAAGTATGGATTTGTCCGTTAAAAACAGAGTAGGGGAGTTAGTAGATGGGGAGAGGGAGGTATTAGGTAGATGGCGAGAATATTTTGAGGAACTTTTAAATGTTGAGGAAGAAAGGGAGGCGGTAATTTCATGCACTGGCCAGGGAGGTATACCATCTTTTAGGAGTGAAGAAGAGCAGAATGTAAGTGTGGTGGAGGTACGTGAGGCATTACGTAGAATGAAAGGGGGTTAAAGCAGGTGGAACTGATGGGATCATGACAGAAATGTTAAAAGCAGGGGGGAATATAGTGTTGGAGTGGTTGGTACTTTTGTTTAATAAATGTATGAAAGAGGGGAAGGTACCTAGGGATTGGCGGAGAGCATGTATAGTCCCTTTACATAAAGGGAAAGGGGACAAAAGAGATTGTAAAAATTATAGAGGAATAAGTTTACTGAGTATACCAGGAATAGTATACGGTAGAGTTATAATTGAAAGAATTAGAGGTAAGACAGAATGTAGAATTGCGGATGAGCAAGGAGGCTTCAGAGTGGGTAGGGGATGTGTACATCAAGTGTTTACATTGAAGCATATATGTGAACAGTATTTAGATAAAGGTAGGGAAGTTTTTATTGCATTTATGGATTTAGAAAAGGCATATGATAGAGTGGATAGAGGAGCAATGTGGCAGATGTTGCAAGTATATGGAATAGGTGGTAAGTTACTAAATGCTGTAAAGAGCTTTTATGAGGATAGTGAGGCTCAGGTTTAGGGTGTTTTAGAAGAGAGGGAGAATACTTCCCGGTAAAAGTAGGTCTTAGACAGGGATGTGTAATGTCACCATGGTTGTTTAATATATTTATAGATGGGGTTGTAAAAGAAGTAAATGCTAGGGTGTTCGGGAGAGGGGTGGGATTAAATTATGGGGAATCAAAATTCAAAATGGGAATTGACACAGTTACTTTTTGCTGATGATACTGTGCTTATGGGAGATTCTAAAGAAAAATTGCAAAGGTTAGTGGATGAGTTTGAGAATGTGTGTAAAGGTAGAAAGTTGAAAGTGAACATAGAAAAGAGTAAGGTGATGAGGGTTTTCAAATGATTTAGATAAAAAAAATTGGATATCAAATTGGGGAGGAGGAGTATGGAAGAAGTGAATGTTTTCAGATACTTGGGAGTTGACGTGTCGGCGGATGGATTTATGAAGGATGAGGTTAATCATAGAATTGATGAGGGAAATAAGGTGAGTGGTGCGTTGAGGTATATGTGGAGTCAAAAAACATTATCTATGGAGGCAAAGAAGGGAATGTATGAAAGTATAGTAGTACCAACACTCTTATATGGATGTGAAGCTTGGGTGGTAAATGCAGCAGCGAGGAGACGGTTGGAGGCAGTGGAGATGTCCTGTCTAAGGGCAATGTGTGGTGTAAATATTATGCAGAAAATTCGGAGTGTAGAAATTAGGAGAAGGTGTGGAGTTAATAAAAGCATTAGTCAGAGGGCAGAAGAGGGGTTGTTGAGGTGGTTTGGTCATTTAGAGAGAATGGATCAAAGTAGAATGACATGGAAAGCATATAAATCTATAGGGGAAGGAAAGAGGGGTAGGGGTCGTCCTCGAAAGGGTTGGAAAGAGAGCGTAAAGGAGGTTTTGTGGGCGAGGGGCTTGGACTTCCAGCAAGCATGCATGAGCGTGTTAGATAGGAGTGAATGGAGACGAATGATACTTGGGACCTGACGATCTGTTGGAGTGTTAGCAGGGTAATATTTAGCCCTTTGAGGGTCGACAGGCCCTCTCCGAAACTCGTTCTCAGGGTCGGCCAAATTTAAAAAAAAAAAAAATATTTTCTCTTATGAAAAGATAGAGAATCTTTTCCCGATCATAAAGACACCAAAAGTTTGAAATTTGATAGAAAACTTACGGAATTATGCTCTCGCAAAGTTAGCGGTCTCAGCGATGTTTACGCATCGGCGATTTTGCCCACTTTGAGCCCCATTTTCGGCCAATTTCACTGTACTAGTCGACAAAAAACATGAATATTTCGCTAGAACTCCATTTTTTCTATCGAATGTGTGCAAGAAACCATCATTTATGAAATTCAACTATCCAGTACAGTGGTCAGAATTTAGCAATTTTGCCAATTTCACACAAATTTCAAAAGATGCCAATTTCCGAATAGGGTCCAGAATAAACAAGAAAGACATTCCTGGCACTAAAATGACATTTCCTCTGGTCATTAGTCACGTCTCAAGGCCCCTCTTATATTCTTTGTTTGCTTCCACTTTGAATTTTTATTTTCACAAAAAAATATAAGATTTACTGTTATGCAGACTACTGCATTAGTGTAAAAAATGGTATAAATATTATTCGGTGCACTTGTGAAAAGAATATTAGACTCACCAGTTGACGTGTATTGCACGCTTGGCACGATTTGTTTACTTTTGAAGTTTGGTAAAAATCGAACATTTCTGCTACTTTGAGCTCAATTTTCAAGGCACCTTTATTTGTAAAACCAGTCAAAATCATCTCAATTTCTGTAATTATGTCTTCCATTCTATAAAATGAGACCAAGAAAAACTAAAATACAACAATAAATACCATACGAAAATACACTGCAAAGTCGCTGATTTATTAAAAAAAAATGGTCAAAGTTTTTTTTTTTTTCATTATGCACTGTGTGCTGCAGGATTTTTTTTAGACTGTGCACACTGACCACATAGACCCATTCTTTCATATGAAGGCCTACCAGCTTTCTCCCACTAGATTTGAGGCCGCTAGAATTTATGAGTACTAGTACGTCAAAAACCCCTACGCGTAAGACGTACTAGTACGACGAAAACCCTCAAAGGGTTAGTGAAGGGATTCAGGGAAACCGGTTATTTTCATATAGTCGGACTTGAGTCCTGGAAATGGGAAGTACAATGCCTGCACTTTAAAGGAGGGGTTTGGGATATTGGCAGTTTGGAGGGATATGTTGTGTATCTTTATACGTATATGCTTCTAAACTGTTGTATTCTGAGCACCTCTGCAAAAGCAGTGATAATGTCTGAGTGTGGTGAAAGTGTTGAATGATGAAAGTATTTTCTTTTTGGGGATTTTCTTTCTTTTTTGGGTCACCCTGCCTCGGTGGGAGACGACCGACTTGTTGAAAAAAAAAAAAAAAAATTACTTTTATTTCCCCAGCATGGCAAGCCTCATATGTATGAAATGGTTATTTGAAGAGCATTAAACAACTTTTGTATTTCAGTTTTTGTAAGGAATGTACTAAATGCATGGCCACACTATTTTTCTGCCAAAATTAATGCACTGCATAAGGAGCAAATGATTCTCTACAACTAGCCAGAGATTACACAGGTGGAGTGCCAAAATGTTTATATATTATAAGCAACATAGTTCAAACAACAATCAACTCATCAGTTCAACAATTTAAAATTTTAGGAAATTTTAACATTTACATTGCAAAAGCACAAAAGATTAGCATAATATTCCATAAATAAGATAATGCAACTCCTTACCTGAAGTCAGAGCAAGGGTATGATTGGAGCCACATGCAATTTGTAGAGAATGCTTGCGGGCTAAGCTCTTCACTAACTTTGGTGTGGGAGTATGCCATTCTGTTGAATTAATACCCAATTGTCCAAATTCATTTGCTCCCCATGCATAAATCTGAAAATATTTTGTGGTTAATCTACTTTCCTAAGTCCTTATTTTACAATTCTCTAGTCATAATTACAGATGATTTTTTTTTTTTTTTTAGCAAGTCGGCCATCTCCCACCGAGGCAAATTCCCAAAAAGAAAATACATGGACTGCAAGCACAGTTAACGAATTTATTTTCAATCCACCTAGTAAGTCAGGTTGGCCTCATGTATGAGCGGAAGTCTTTCACACATAGGTGAATATTTGTTGAATTATACATTGTCCATTTTCTGACCCCACATAAACTGAAATATGTGGTTACACTTTACCTAGTCCTTATTTACAATACTTAAAGTAAATTAAGTGATTTTGGAGAAGTGATCTCAACGAGGCGGTCCACAGTACTTTAATCATCATTCAACACTTTCACCTCACTCACACATAATCAATGTTTTTGCAGAGGTGCTCAGAATAAAACAGTTTAGAAGCATATATGTAATAAAGATACACAACATATCCCTCCAAACTGCCAATATAACAAATCCCTCCTTTAAGTGCAGGCATTGTACTTCCCATTTCCAGGACTCAAGTCCGACCATGTATTAAAAAAAAAAAAACGGTTTCCCTGAATCCCTGCACTAAATATTACCCTGCTCACACTCCAACAGCTTGTCAGGTCCCAAATACCATTCGTCTCCATTCACTTCTATCTAACATGCTCACATACGCTTGCTGGAAGTCCAAGCCCATTGCCCACAAAACCTCCTTTATCCTCTCCCTCCAACCTTTTTGAGGATGACCCCTACCCTGCCTTCCTTCCCCTACAGATTTATACGCTCTCCATGTCATTCTACTTTGATCCATTCTTTCTAAATGACCAAACCACCTCAACAAGCCCTCTGACTAATACTTTTATTAACTCCACACCTTCTCCTAATTTCCACACTCCGAATTTTCTGCATAACATTTACACCACACATTGCCCTTAGACAGGACATCTCCACTGCCTCTAACTGCCTCCTCACTGATGAATATTAAATAAAATTCTTGCAATAATCTAGGAGTGAACAGAATAAGAGATAGCAAACAGTAAATTTTTTATTAATGGAGCTAAATTTACAGCGGCCAAAAGAACACACATATTCTAGTTAAAAAATGGATTACGACTTGAAATGTCAGTCCACACTGTGATGAATGCTCATTATACAACTTAATTACCACAGAGAGTGCCAGTGTTTTTGTGGATGTTATTTACAACCTGGCAACAATTAGAAGGGCCTGATACGAGTGACAAACAGTGCAGTCATGATACATTTAAAACTACCAAGGCAGTGAACAGGGCCAGGGTTATTGATACAGTTATAGGGGATTTAAACTACAGAAACAGGACTGGCAAGTTCAGGCTTCGACTAAATAATGTAGAAATTCAATGCAGAACATTAAAGCAACGTGATTAACAGGGAATGATCAATCAGCGAGGATAAACTTTTTATTATCATGGAATTCCTGTTTTGTAGAGATGTGAATACCTTGAAATTCCAGTTTTCCAGGGATGAAAATTTGATGTTAGGGTACTTCTAAATGAAGTCCAAACCACACAAACCTATACACAGTTTTTGCCTAAAAGGCACACAATGAAGGGGAGACGCAAGAGAAATCAGAAATAAAATTTCTACCTCCTTTTCAGTGGGCTGCCCTAGTAAGCTTATTAATGAAGAGGCAATATCACTAGCATAACTCTGCTTCTGTAACTTCAAATAGGTTGCTATCTGCACATCATTGTAAACAGTACTAACTGGGAGAAGAGAGTGGCCTTAGATTTTATTACTGGTGTTATAAACATTACACAATACAGTAGTACACCTACCATCCGACTTACGACCTGCTCGACTTATGACCACTCGACTTACGACCGTGTTTTTTATGCCAAATTTCTGGGAAATAAACAACTATTTGCGTTGTACACAGTGTTTATCCTAAACCTTACAGTATAAAATACAGTACTAACAACATAAAAAGTAAAGTAAAACATGAAATACCAAAATAAAACAAAATAAAGTCATTACAAAAATGTTTTGTTGATATTCAGTAGTAAAGTTCGACTTACGATCATTTCGACTTACGACCGGTTTCTCGGAACCGAACTCGGTCGTAAGTCGGATGGTAGGTGTATATTACTGCACTTACAGTAAATGTAAGGAAAAGCACTAAATCCCATAAGGGTCATACAGCACCTAAGGAATGACAATTTTTTTTTTTAAATATCATGAAAAGCTACAATTTTTGAAAAGCCCATGGGATGCTCAACACTTCAGACACTTGGAATGCAATAAGGTTTGATCTGAAGATGGGGAGGGTAGTGCCAATTATATTAAATTTATACGGACTTCATGCTATTTCTATTAGTTTTAACTGAAACCATCCACAAAGCATAATATAGTACATCATGTACCTACCAGTCCCCAAGAAGTAAGTGCTATCGAGTGTTGATCACCAGCTGCAACCTGTACTATGCTGTAGTTTTGTAGATCATCAATTTGTTCTGTAAATTTTAATAATTTACAATACTTTACTAATTTTTAGGAGAACAGTATATTTGAATAAAAAGATCAAATACCAATGAAAACCAGGAACTGATCAGAATTACTATACATCTTTGAAAGAAATGTCGAACTTGAAAACTACTCTAAATATTTAACATTAATATTTTGCTTCATTTTATTCTTATAAAATATTTGTATGGTGGTGACATACCAGAACACTGAGATTTAACAAGTTACACCTAAATTTTAAAGCCACTCACTCTTTAAACACAAACAAGATTTTTCAATGTAAAGAGGTAACATGCAGCATCCCTCATACATTTGCATTACAAGTTCAGAGATTGGAAATGAAAAGTGAATAACTTTTCAGTCCACCCTAAACCATTAAAATAACCAACAAAATTTAACTTTTTATGCAGTTCTGAAACTACAATGGTTGTTTTATCAAATCAAATCAAGTTTATTCTCTATAAAGATTATAATGCTGAGTTTACAGAATTTGGATATTGTGTGGTTTACATGTTTTAAAATACTAATTACAGAGGGGGCCACTAGAACACCTAGCATGGCTAGGCATTTCGGGCAGACTTTGATTAATTCTTAACTTTAAAATATTACAAATTATGAGGTAAGTTGGTATTATGGCTAAGTGACTAAATACTAGTTTGTGAGTTTAGCAATGTGAATGCTTTTGTTTTCGCACATACATAGTTTCAGTATTGGAGTATCACAGGCCAACTTATGACTAGTTAGGATTCATTATTTTAAGATTAAGATTGATATTTCTGTGTTTATGGTCAAGTGGGTGAAGTGGTCATGAATCTGAGCTTGTTTAGTCTATTACATAGGGAGTTTTTGAAATCTTACAATCAATATTTTGGCTAGACAAGGCTGAAGAGCCATAACATATGTTAACTATGGCAGTTAGATTGGCACAGGTTATTAAGAGCCCTGATGCTCTGATTTACTGTTCATTTCAAACAGCAACCTATTGGGCAAGAACTTGGGCAGTTTTTTTTTTTAACAAACTGGTTGTCACCCACCAAGGCAGGGTGACAAAAAACACCAGTTTCACCATCACTAACACTGTCTTTCCTGAGGCTATTGAAATTAAGTATTAAATTTTAAAAGTCTGAGTATACACTAAGGAAACACTAAGTGGTAGAGTACAAGCCTAAGATGCACCATGATGAACTGGGAGTGAGAAATTAAATATCCAAGATGATCACTGTACATAAAAAAAAAAAAAAAAAGAGCATACTGAAAAAATTACAAACCTGGTTTTCTAGTAATCTTGTCTTGTCCCAGCTGACCAACTTCATTGTTACCACAGGAATATACAAGACCTTCTTCAGTCAAGATCAGGGAATGCATTAGCCCTGATGCAACTGCATATAAAAATTGAAAAAATAAATATGTTGTGTATCTTTATACGTATATGCTTCTAAACTGTTGTGTTCTGAGCACCTCTGCAAAAACAGTGATTATGTGTGAGTGAGGTGAAAGTGTTGAATGATGATGAAAGTATTTTCTTTTTGGGTCACCCTGCCTCAGTGGGAGACAGCCAACTTGTAAATAAATAAATAAAAAAAATAAATAAATAAATAGTAATCCAGCACAAAATGCCAAAATTGTAAACTGCTAATGTTAACTACATTTGTAGCATAATTCTGCAGTACATTAGAGCACATGTAACTTTTTCAAGTATTAAATAGTATATGAAACTTCTTTTCTCACAAAACAACAATTTAAAGTAAAATTATTTTTGTTTTTAACGAACTGGCCGTATCCCACCGAGTCAGGGTGACCTAAGGAAAAACTTTCATTTTTACCTTGAGGTCACCATGTATAAATTACTAAATTTAGAGAGGAAAAAACTATATAAATTTAGCAATTTAAACAAGAGAAGGGGTCAATGGCTCCTTGCTCCCAGTATTTTAGTCACTTCTTACAACACCCATGGCTTACAGAGGAAGAATTCTTTTCACCTTCCCCATGGTAAACAGTAAAAGTTAGACATTAAGTAATTTGGGCTTTGTTGAGAACTCTAAATAGTAAGAGCCCATTTACAAGCATTCCCTTTATAAGTATTCTTTAACCCAAAACTGTCCAGACCACTGAAATTAATATTGTTCTTAGTGTTAACAATTAAAAAAAAATCTGAAATGGTAGAAAATTTTTCCTATAGGTAATGACACCAAAAGTATGAAATATGACTGAAAAATATGTGGAATTATGCAAGTACAAAGTTAGTAGTCTGGGCACAATTGAGGCAAATGCAATTTCGTCCACCAAGTTCTATTCTAAGCCAATTCCAATGCTCCATTTAACCAATTTTTTTTGATAAAGCACAAGAAACCACCTATTTAACTATTAGTACTACCCTATAAAGTGCACAGAATTTGGCAATTTGGCCCATTTTACACCAAATTAAAAAAATACAATTCAAAAATAGAGTCCAAAATGAACATTATAGACATTCCTGACACAAACAACTTTCCTCTATTAACTGATCATGCCCCCTGGCCTCTCCTATATTACAGTGTCTCCAATAATATATAATATTCCTTTATTCTTTTATTAAAATATAGTCTCTCCTCACTTAGCAACGTACTCATTTAACGATGCCTCGGACTTATGATGGGCTCTCTGACCAGTATTTATACCTAAATAATGTAGATTAGAGCTGATTTCCCCTATTCTGTTTATTTCAATATACAGTACACTACTGTATAAACAATTAAAAATATACCAGAAATGTTATAAATGGTGAAAAAGTGACAATAAAATAATATGAAAGATAGTTGACACAAACCCACCACCATTATAGTATGCTCCTCACTTAGCGACGAATTTGTTTACCAACATGGTCTTAGGAATGAAACTCCATCGTTAAGCGAGGATAGACTGTATTCACTTTCCTTCTACTATCTGGATTTCCTAATCATAAAAAATATAAAATTTACCATATTTCTCAGATAATAAATTATAACCAGGAATGAATGGCCATAGCTGTGTCCCAATAACAATCAGACCAGGGGTTATAAGAGGGCCTTACCCATCCTCTGGAAAATCTCCAATATTAAAATATTTCCACTACTTTGTGCCCAATTTCAAGCTACTTCCAGTCCTGAAGCCAAGCAAAATAATCTCTATTTCAATACTTTATCTTCTATCAAATGATACCAAAAAACAGCAAATACAACCATAAAACCCATCCTAGAAAACACCTCAAAGTTGTTGTTTTAAACCACATACAAGGTCAGAGTAATAATGAAATTCTCTAAGCACTGCCATTTATCACTTTACAGATGGTATCATCTGGAAATAGCATTGGCTTGGATTGTAGCACAACCCTTAGTAGATTACTGATATAGAGGAGCATTAGTGCACAGGATGTAGCTTTGTGGTACATAAATATTTGTAGGTAGAATTTATGAGAAAATATCTGAAGTCAAATTTTGGTATCTATCAGGTAGGCAAAATTTTGCAAAGAATGCATGGCCTCTCAAACCCATATTTAAACAACTGCCAATTACAAAAAAATTACCTTGCTTGACATTCCATGATTTTGAGAAATCCATGAAGCTAGGTAGGGTGAGCTGCTCCACTTCTGGGGCTCCTACCCCCAGCTCCCCATTCACTGTCGAGCCCCAACAGTACATTGGGCCTGAAAATAATAATATATCCCTTCCATAAACAAAACTGATAAGCTGCATGCAAATCTCTCATTAATACTCTGTTGTATTTTCAAAAATTGTTGGAAATATAAACACAAATGCAGTATAATGTGATCCTTTATTGACAACGTTTCACCCACACAGTGGGCTTTTTCAAGTCACACACGGATCTACCTGGGGTTGGAAGGTACGAGAGTATTTATAGTCATGTTCAGAGTGTTGAGGTCAGGTGGAGAATGCTGCATCTGATGATCTACCGGGTGGGGTTATAGAGTCTTGGGTAGCTTGGCAGGGGTATTGGACAAGTGGTGAGTAGACCTTCTGCAGTGTTCTATGTTCTTATGTGGGATAGCGATGAAGAAGTTTCTTGGCGAGTGGTTCAGCTATGTTATAGAAGCCATTGTCTGGTTAAAATTGTTGGTTGTAGAGATGAGGAGATTCCAGGATTTCTTCTGTATTGAGTGTTGTCCTTCTGTGGCTATAAGCTGAGTTTTGTAGTTAATTAAATGGTTGTGTAAATTGCGATGTTGTACACAGGCATTCCTTGTATCGTCAGTCCTGCTTGCATATTGGTGTTCTGAAATACGTGTTTCAGGTCTCTTGATGTTTCGCCCACATAAATTTGTTGCAGTCATTAAAAGGGGATTTGTAAAACCCCTGCAGAGGATGGAGGCTTGTCCTGTTTACTACTGGTGATGTCCTTGATGGTCGTGGTTGTGGGGGTTTAGAAAACTTGGAATGATGTTTTGGCAAAGATGTTGGAACATGTTTGGCAATGGAGTTGGTTGGGAGGACTATGTATCTCTTCTCGGCAATGCTTCTCTGGGTTTTGTTGAAGATGTTTAATGCCCCCGTCTGCAGTCTCTGATGAAGTGACGGGGGTAGTGGAGTTTAGAAAAATACTTGTTCAATTATAGTGCATTCTTCCTCAAGGAATCATTGCTGCAGATTCTGAGTGCACGAAGAAGAAGCCTATAATTACACCACGTTTGGTTTTGGTGTCGTGGTGAGAGTAGAAGTGGAGAAGATCGTTTTGGTTGGTGGGTTTTCAAAGACTTTAAAACGAAGTTCATGGTCAGCTTGCAGAGCAGAACATCAAGGAAAGGAAGAGGTGTTGTCGATCTTTTTTCAAGTGTGAACTGGATTGAAGGCTCGACCTAGTTGAGCTTGTCTTGGAGAGCTTGAACGTTGAAGCGTTTAGGAGTTATGAGGAGAATGTCGTCAACATAACGGAGCCAGGTGACAGACGAAGGAATAATGGTGGAGAAACGTTCGGCTTCTAGATGTTCCATGTATAGGTTCGCCAGGACTCATTGAGTGGCGAACCCATGGGTAGTCCAAAAGTCTGCTGAAAGAGGTGATTTTCGAAAGAGAAACACGATCTTCTCCACTTCTACTCTCACCACGACACCAAAACCAAACGTGGTGTAATTATAGGCTTCTTCCTACGTGCACTCAGAATCTGCAGCAATGAGTTCCTTGAGGGAAAAATGCACTATAATTGAACAAGTATTTTCTAAACTCCACTATCCTCGTCACTTCATCAGAGACTGCAGACGGCGGGCATTAAACATCTTCAACACCCCCAGAGAAGACACTGCCGAGAAGAGATACATAGTCCTCCCAACCAACTCCATGCCAAACATGTTTCCAACATCTTTGCCAAAACATCATTCCAAGTATCTACTTCCACAACCACGACCATCAAGGACATCACCAGTGTAGACAGGACAACCCTCCATCCTCTGCAGGGTTATACATAATCCCTTGTAATGACTGCAACAAATTATATGTGGGGAAACATCAAGCGACCTCCAAACACATAAATTTTAGAACACCAATATGCAAGCAGGACTGACATACAAGGAATGCCTGTGTACAACATCGCAATTCACACCCATTTAAATTTTAAATACAGAAACCAAGACTTATAGCCACAGAAGACAAAAACTCAATACAGAAGAATCCTGGAATCATCGCTCATCTCTCAACCAACCCAAATTTTAACCAGAACAATGGCTTCTAAAACATAGCTGAACCACTCGCCCAAAAAACTTCTTCATCGCTATCCCACATAAGAACATAGAACACTGCAGAAGGTCTACTCACCACTTGTCCAATACCCCTGCCAAGCTACCCAAGACTCTATAACCCCACCCGGTAGATCATCAGATGCAGCATTCTCCACCTGACCTCAACACTCTGAACATGACTATAAATACTCTCGTACCTTCCAACCCCAGGTAGATCCGTGTGTGACTTGAAAAAGCCCACTGTGTGGGTGAAACGTTGTCAATAAAGGATCACATTATACTGCATTTGTGTTTATATTTCCATTGTGTCGGTATTTTATACCATTTATTTCCATCAAAAATTGTTAAATTTCTAATAGTTGTGTGACTTGTTACTTTGTTTGTTTCATTCTTCCACAACTATTTGTGAAGAAAAAGGAAGACACCTGTTGTCCGTGTTCACCCATCAGTATAAAATGGGTATCTGGGTGTTAGCTGACTGGTGTGGGGTCACATCCTGGGACAAAACTGACTAATTTGCCTGAAATGCTCAGCATAACAAGCAGCTTTCTATATAGTAATATGTCATTGATGTCTGCCAGGCTTGTGTATCTTGTACATGTACTTGTAGAAATAAAGATAATTATATTACTATTATTAAGAAAGGAGAAGCCATATGATAATGAATATATTTTATTTCCACATCTAACAGCACACAGAAAGTGCCTGGTTATGCACAGCCTTTCAGGAAGGAGGATGATGATGATGATGATGATGATGATGATGATGATGATGATGACAGAAAGAATAAAGTAAAAAAGAAAGCAAGGGATGAAGAAACTTTTTAGTTTATCAACCCTGAAGGTTAGTAACCCAGGATAATCCAATTAAGCTGCTATATTTGGCTTATTCCCAATGGGGTCCTCAGGTCCTCTTCCCCAGGATGCAACCTAAAACAGTTACCTAACCCCAGATACAGTACTTACTGCTAGGTGAACAGTAACAGCAAGTTTAAGACATAACCAACATTACTACTTGTACTGGGATAGAACTCAAGGTCCTTCAGATGTGAGCTGAAGGTGCTACCACTTTTTTTTTTTTTTTTTTTTTTTTTTTTACACAGGGTTTGACAAGGTTAAGGATCCCTAGTTTTATTGACAAGCTATTTACAGGTTAAGGATTCCTAACTTTATTGGCAAGCTAAGAGCTGTTACCTACATCAGCTCATTTGAAAGCATTTTTATTGTTATGAGACATACAAGTAGGGAACAGGATGAAGTTGGAGCCATCTGTGGGCCAGCATTTTCATTTGATCAACTGACTTTATCTCGTTGACACCATTATGCTGTACAAATGTGTTCCATATTCGAGTCATCCTGGGTATATATGATCTTAGATGGAGTGATGTTCTGGAGAAGGGTACAGCCAGAGTGAAGTTGCTGCTTTCTGCCCGTCTTGTGGCATAAAAGCTTGTTTCACGCTGTCCTCGAAGTGGATCCAAGTGTGGTACTTTGACAATACTGGGCTTGTACATAACAGTAAGGCCACCCACATCCCTCCTGTGTTGAAAGCTCTGCTGAAATGACAGATCTATCCAGGATGGGTCCAGGCAAGAGATGAGACGTCTTGCTCTGTTCTCTACTCTGTCAAGCAGTCGCAGATGAGACGGGGGGCAGGCAAACTTTGCAAATGAGCTTTATTCAGGTTAAATTTACTCAGTAAATTTTCAGGGTTATTTTATCATTTGACAATGATGCATTAAACGTGAAAATAGGTACATGCACATAATAAATAATGAAGATTTAACCTAGGATAATGCGGGAAGATAATAAAGATAACTAAACCAAGATAACTAATGATTTTTTATAACTTCAGAAAAAATGGTTGTCCCTCATAAATAAACTATGTAATTCGTTTATATCAAAATTATTTTAAGACCATAAATTCTTATGAACCTTCAAGATATTTGGGATATCCTAGTCAATCATATCACTTATGTATAATAGCCACACTAGCTTACGTATAATACCTATGTGTATTACTTATTTATAATACCGTTATGTATTATGTACTGTATATTTAGCCAACTTAAATAAGAAATAATCAGTTGATAAATTGCTTGGTTGGTAATACTCTTACCTCACACAATGAGTGTCTGTGGTTTGATCCCCAGCCAGGAGGAAATGAGGGGTGTGTTTCCTTACACCTGCTGTCACTATTCACCAAGCAGTAAGCAGGTACCTGGATGTTAGTGGATTGATGTGGGTGGCATCCTGGGGGACAAGATTGAAGGACACACTGACTTACTGAGTTATCCTGGGTGGCCAACACTCCTCACCCTGGGTTATCCTGGGTGGCTAACACTCCCACCCAGGGTTATCCTGGGTGGCTAACACTCCCTACCCTGGGTTATCCTGGGTGGCTAACACTCCCTACCCTGGGTTATCCTGGGTGGCTAACACTCCCACCCAGGGTTATCCTGGGTGGCTAACACTCCCTACCCTGGGTTATCCTGGGTGGCTAACACTCCCTACCCTGGGTTATCCTCGGTGGCTAACACTCCCAACCCTGGGTTATCCTGGGTAGATAACACTCCCTACCCTCGGTTATCCTGGGTGGCTAACACTCCCTACCTGGGTTATTCTGGGTGGCTATCACTCCCTACCCTCGGTTATCCTGGGTGGCTAACACTCCCTACCCTTGGTTATCCTGGGTGGCTAACACTCCCTACCCGGGGTTTTATCCTGGGGCTAACACTCCCTACCCTGGGTTATCCTGGGTGGTTAACACTCCCTACCCTGGGTTATCCTGTGGCTAACACTCCCTACCCTGGGTTATCCTGGGTGGCTAACACTCCCTACCCTGGGTTATCCTGGGTGGCTAACACTCCCTACCCTGGGTTATCCTGGGTGGTTAACACTCCCTACCCTGGGTTATCCTGGGTGGCTAACACTCCCTACCCTCGGTTATAACATCAGAACATAAGAATGTAGGAACACTGCAGAAGGCCTACTGGCCCATACGAGGCAGGTCCTTATCAAAACGACATCTACCTAAAGCTACTCAAGAAATAACTCCCGTACCCCTTGACACCAATCAAACCCAGCCCCTCCCACTCATATATTTGTCCAGTCTCTTCTTAAAGCTACCCAAGGTCCTAACCTTCCCTAACACTCCCTACCCTGGGTTATCCTGGGTGGCTAACACTCCCTACCCTGGGTTATCCTGGGTGGCTAACACTCCCTACCCAGGGTTATCCTGGGTGGCTAACACTCCCTACCCTGGGTTATCCTGGGTGGCTAACACTCCCTACCCTGGGTTATCCTCGGTGGCTAACACTCCCAACCCTGGGTTATCCTGGGTAGATAAACTCCCTACCCTCGGTTATCCTGGGTGGCTAACACTCCCTACCTGGGTTATCCTGGGTGGCTATCACTCCCTACCCTGGGTTATCCTGGCTGGCTAACACTCCCTACCCTGGGTTATCCTGGGTGGCTAACACTCCCTACCCTGGGTTATCCTGGGTGGCTAACACTCCCTACCCTGGGTTATCCTAGGTGGCTAACACTCCCTACCCTGGGTTATCCTGGGTGGCTAACACTCCCTACCCTGGGTTATCCTGGGTGGCTAACACTCCCTACCCTGGGTTATCCTGGGTGGCTAACACTCCCTACCCTGGGTTATCCTGGGTGGCTAACACTCCCTACCCTGGGTTATCCTGGGTGGCTAAAAACTCCCTACCCTGGTTATCCTAGGTGGCTAACACTCCCTACCCTGGGTTATCCTGGGGGGCTAACACCTCCCTACCCTGGGTTATCCTGGCTGGCTAACACTCCCTACCCTGGGTTATCCTGGGTGGCTAACACTCCCTACCCTGGGTTATCCTGGGTGGCTAACACTCCCTACCCCGGATTATCCTGAGTGGCTAACAATCCAGGTTAAAAATCCAAACTAATATTAACTGAAAATAAGATATTACAAGGACGCCAATGGATATAAGTCACTGACCTTATGAGGGTTATCTTAGGTCATTTACTTTACTATATATGGCAGTTGAAATCGTCTGAATTTGTACCCACCTATTTGTGGTTGCAGGGGTCGATTCATAGCTCCTGGCCCCGTATAACTACGTACGTAGACCAGTACTGAACTAAGACATAACCTAGATGACCTAATGAAGTTATTACATTAAGAACAGCACATGACAGCTATTGCAACTTTACTCGGTATGAATGTCACAAGACAGACGTGATTACTGAGGTAATATATCATTTACACTCGTGGGGGAGAACGTTAAACCTGTAGGGGAAGGGGGGTCTCTTAACTGCGCCTGCAGGAATGGCAGGCAATGTGATTCGATCCAAAGGAGAACTGGTCCAATTCCCTGGATCAAGAGCCCATCATGGTCATGAAGACAGATGAGGTTAGTGAAGCTGTATAGTGAAAGATTATCCACTGGTCAAAGACCCCAATAAAAATAAGTCACTGTGTCTGACCTTTTCTTTGCTGGGTTATCCCAGGTAAATTACACACATAGCACTACGTATGATAATTGTACTTATGTATGCCTACACCTAAATATATAAATACACTCACCAAGTGAGGTGTTACAGAGACATAACACTGACACCCTCCTCCTTCAACCTCCACTTTAACACTGGACTCTTCTAGCACCTTCACTTATAATTCCTAAATTTTTGTCACAATCTTTCCAACAACTATTTAGTCTGTGTAATAAACCGTATTTTTCTTTATTTTTTTCATCTCGTCTAATTATGGTAAGACCTCATCTACTTATGTCATAAAATAAAGGTTTATTAAATAATGATTACGAATGTAGATTATTATTATTATTATTATTATTATTATTATTATCAAAGAGGAAGCGCTAAACCCGGAGGATTATACAGCGCCTGGGGGGGATGTGGAAGGCATTCAGGCTTAATTTGGGGAACTGGAGCACAGATCCAATTCTCTAAATCAAGAGCCCCTCACCAACATCAAGGAACCTTCCTTGAGGGGTACGAATGTAGAACTTTCATTATATATACATATATATATTGTATAACCTAACTCAATAATTATAATAATAATAATAATAATAATAATAATAATAATAATAATAATAATAAAATAATAATAATAATAATAATAATAATAATAATAATAATAATAAATGGTCATTGACTTCACGTTATCATCTGAGTTTATCTGTAATTTATTCCATAAATGTTCAATATTAGATGAGGTATACCATATACATGTTTTTACATATTTTATGGAAACTGTAAGTAACGTAACCAATCATAAAGAAACTCAACATAACCCAACCTTAAATAACCTTACTCCGCCAGTGGTATACTGAGACTAGGGTGCCTTTCTTTACATTGTTACATCTTTGTACACATTCTGATGCATCTTTGTAATCATTCTGATACATCTTTATATACATCCTGATCCATCTTTATATACATTCTTATTGTAGTGCTCGTCGCTTGATTGCTAGCGTCCTCAGGTCACACATTCACGAACCGGGCTCGATCTACGGCACGAGTGGAAACATTGGGCATGTTTCCTTATACCTACTGTCCCTGTTCATGTAAGCAGTAAGTAGGTACCCGGGTGTTAGTTGAGTGGAGGGGTTGGCATCTTGGGGAACAAAACTGAGGGACCAGAGTTGAAATAAGAGACAGTCCTCTATAAACCACTGACTTTATTGGGTCATCCTGGGTGACTAACACTTCCTACCCTGGGTTATCCTGGGTGACTAACACTTCCTACCCTGGGTTATCCTGGGTGACTAACACTTCCTACCCTGGGTTATCCTGGGTGGCTAACACTTCCTACCCTGGGTTATCCTAGGTGGCTAACACTCCCTACTCTGGGTTATCCTGGGTGGCTAACACTCCCTACCCTGGGTTATCCTGGATTGCTAACACTCCCTACCCTGGCTTATCCTGGGTGGCTAACACTCCCTACCCTGGGTTATCCTGGGTGGCTATCACTCCCTACCCTGGGTTATCCTGGCTGGCTAACACTCCCTACCCTGGGTTATCCTGGCTGGCTAACACTCCCTACCCTGGGTTATCCTGGGTGGCTATCACTCCCTACCCTGGGTTATCCTGGGTGGCTAACACTCCCTACCCAGGGTTATCCTAGGTGGCTAACACTCCCTACTCTGGGTTATCCTGGGTGGCTAACACTCCCTACCCTGGGTTATCCTGGATTGCTAACACTCCCTACCCTGGGTTATCCTGGGTGGCTAACACTCCCTACCCTGGGTTATCCTGGGTGGCTATCACTCCCTACCCTGGGTTATCCTGGCTGGCTAACACTCCCTACCCTGGGTTATCCTGGCTGGCTAACACTCCCTACCCTGGGTTATCCTGGGTGGCTATCACTCCCTACCCTGGGTTATCCTGGGTGGCTAACGCTCCCTACCCTGGGTTATCCTGGGTGGCTAACACTCCCTACCCTGGGTTATCCTAGGTGGCTAACACTCCCTACTCTGGGTTATCCTGGGTGGCTAACACTCCCTACCCTGGGTTATCCTGGGTGGCTAACACTCCCTACTCTGGGTTATCCTGGGTGGCTAGCACTCCCTACTCTGGGTTATCCTGGGTGACTAACACTCCCTACCCTGGGTTATCCTTTATGACCATCACTTCCTACCCTGGGTTATCCTGGGTGGCTATTATTATTATTATAATCAAAAAGAAGCGCTAAGCCACAAGGGCTATCCTGGGTGGCTAACACTCCCTACTCTGGGTTATCCTGGGTGATTAACACTCCCTACCCTGGGTTATCCTGGGTGACTAACACTCCTACCCTGGGTTATCCTGGGTGGCTAAGACTCCCTACCCTGGGTTATCCTGGGTGGCTAAGACTCCTACCCTGGGTTATCCTGGGTGACTAACACTCCCTACCCTGGGTTATCCTGGGTGGCTAAGACTCCTACCCTGGGTTATCCTGGGTGACTAATACTCCCTACCCTGGGTTATCCTGGGTGGCTAAGATTCCCTACCCTGGGTTATCCTGGGTGGCTAAGACTCCTACCCTGGGTTATCCTGGGTGACTAACACTTCCCCGGGTTAAAAATCCCAACAAATCGTATCTTATCTCCTTGCCAGAAATACTCAGCATGCCAGCTAGGTCTGTAATAGTTGCATCATCATGTACCTGTAGAAATAAAAAAATATTATTATTACTATTATTATTATTATTATTATTATTATTATTATTATTATTATTATTTTGTTTATATTATGATGTATCTTTGTTTACATTCTGATGCGCGTATTTGTTTACATTCTGATGCATTTTTGTTTACATTCTGATGCATATTTGTTTACATTCTGATGCATATTTGTTTACATTCTGATGCATATTTGTTTACATTCTGATGCGCGTATTTGTTTACATTCTGATGCATATTTGTTTACATTCTGATGCATATTTGTTTACATTCTGATGCATATTTGTTTACATTCTGATGCATATTTGTTTACATTCTGATGCATATTTGTTTACATTCTGATGCATATTTGTTTACATTCTGATGCATATTTGTTTACATTCTGATGCATGTTTGTTTACATTATGATGCATATTTGTTTACATTCTGATGCATGTTTGTTTACATTCTGATGCATGTTTGTTTACATCCTCATACATCGTTGTTTACATTGATACATACCTGGAAGGTGTTCCGGGGTTCAACGCCCCCGCGGCCCGGTCCATGACCAGTAAGTAAGTTTATTCAGGTATACACAAATACAGTTACATAGAATTATCATACATAGCAGCATATGTGTAGAGAACCTGGGATAACCCAAAAAAGTCAGACAGAGTGACTTATTTCCATTGGGGTCCTTTTACCTTATTATTATAATATAAAGGTTATAATATTTTCTTATTATTCTACAATGAAGATAACATCTTATTATCATACTAAAAAGACTATCTACTACACGAGGGTCATTAGACTATCTACAATACGAGGGTCATTACTAGGAATAAGGTAAAATTTACACGTATGTTAGCTAAAAAAATAGAAAATCATTTCCCTCCCTTTCTGTAGCTACATCCATCAGACCACCTTTTGGCAGTCTTCTTGAACTGGTTCATGCTATGACTGGCTTTGACATGTGCAGGCAGTCTGTTCCATTTCTTTATTGCTGTACAATAAAAGGTGTTTGAAGCCTGGCCACTGACCGTGGGTACTACAAAGTTGTGCTCCCTCCCCCTAGTACTATGATTGCTTTGGTTCCCAACCTTGACAAAATTGACAGTAAGATATTCTGGACACTGTGAGCAATTTTATAAACATGATTTAGCTTCAGTTGTTTTATTCTGTCTTCAACATTCAGCATATCCAACTGCTGTAATTCATCCTGGCCTACATGTTCTCTTGGTCCCAGTCCCAGGATGAATCTTACGATTTTGTTCTGGGTGATTTGCGTCTATCTTTCATTTTTTTTTTTGTCAAGGCAGAGTACCATGAAGAGCAAGCGAAATCCATATGGCATTGTATAAGGGTAGACATGGGGTCCTGCGAGCCTCAGTAGGTAACACTGTGTTGTCTATACAGGAACTTCAGTCTGGCATTCGCTTTCTTACTACATTGTTCCCTATCAATTCTCCTGACATGCATGGGTAAAAGGGGGATTCCCAAAGATATTTTACTGATGAAACCAAAGTGAGGGGCCCTCCCCATTACACTGAACATTAAAATTATTTACCCTTCTCAGTTTATGTTTTGTGCCAAGGAGAATGGCTTCATTTTTCCCGAGGTGTAATGATAGTTTGTTGTCTACTAACCATTTGCTGCAGACTCCAGTTCCAGTTTTAAAACTTTAAAGCAATATCTTGTGGGTCTTCACCTGACACTAACAGAGCACTGTCATCTGCGTACAGTAGGAGTTTGCACTTGACACTGATAGGCATTCATTGACAAAACATAAGAAAAAAATAAGGGACCCAGAATTACTACCTTGGGGAACTCCACATGTTTTTATCGGCAAGGTTTGATTCCGTTTTGTTGTTTTTGACTATTTGTCTCCTGTTGCTAAGGTAGGACTTAACCAGTCTACAGAAACCTATACTGGAGTTTACCGGGAGAGAGTTTCGGGGATCAACCCCCCCGCGGCCCGGTCTGTGCCCCGGCCTCCTGGTGGATCAGCGCCTGATCAACCAGGCTGTTGCTGCTGGCTGCACGCAAACCAACGTACGAGCCACAGCCCGGCTATCAGGAACTGACTTTAGGTGCTTGTCCCAGTGCCAGCTTGAAGACTGCCAGGGTCTGTTGGTAATCCCCCTTATGTGTGCGGGGAGGCAGTTGAACAGTCTGGGGCCCCCCTGACACTTATTGTATGGTCTCTTAACGTGCAAAGTGCCCACCCCTGCTTTTCTTTGGGGGGGATGGTGCATCGTCTGCCAAGTCTTTTGCTTTCGTAGTGAGTGATTTTCGTGTGCAAGTTGGGTACTAGTCCCTCTAGGTTTTTCCCAAAGGTGTATATAATCATGTATCTCCCCCCTCCTGCGTTCCAGGGAATACAGGTTTAGAAACCTCAAGCGCTCCCAGTAATTGAGGTGTTTTATCTCCGTTATGCGCGCCGTGAAAGTTTCTGTACATTTTCTAGGTCGGGGCAATTTCACCTGCCTTA